TAAATGGTATTTGTCCCGAAATGTGCCGCCTGAAACCTGCTGAGCTCTATGTTTGCTCGTCACTTTGTTGTAATGACTCACACTCTGCTTTAATGACATCGCCACACAGGATTTCTGGGTAGTGCAGCCAGCTGAATTTCAAAAAGCTCCAGTATCTCTTGCAGCCATCTGAGGCCACAACATGTGATATCTTTCCTAATGCAGCCTTAAATCGAAACCAAACTTTCCTCCAGTGATAAGTTTTAGTCCTTCAGAGTGTCGACCTGCAGTCAGCGCTCAGGGACGACTTTCCCCTCCGGTCCACCTCACGAGGAGCAGAGATCTGACCTTAATCTCAATTTTTAGGGCCTCCTGCTAGGCTTCGAATTAAATCAGCCCTATCCCCCAGAGTGTGTGTCCGTGTGTGTGTGTGTGTGTGTGTGTGTGTGTGTGTGTGTCCGTGTGTGTATGTGTGTGTGTGTGTGTGTTAAGAGGGCAACACCATATGGCCAGACTGATCATTAAGGAGGCTGCCAGAGGCACAAAACCGCTGGAGCTACTCCCCTCACACACATTTACACACACACACACACACTCAGTCGCTCGCCGAGTGTCACGACGGATCGTGCTCAGAGGCTGTGACGGACCGGTGCACTTAAGCTTTTCCTCTCTCACACACACACACACACTCACACACTCTCTCCAGTGTCGTAATGAAGGTCCTCCATGTCTCCACAGATGGTGTTTGTCTCCTAAAGTCTCCTTGGTGCCGGTAAACAGAGAGCAGGCCGGACCCTGACAGACCTGCCTCTGGGCTCTGAACATGCATCTGTATATGTGTGTGTGTGTGTGCGTGTGTTTACTACGTCCATGTGTGTCAGAAGGAAAGGAGGAAGCGAGGAGATAAGGTCCAAGGAAAGAGGAGTTTAGGAGACAGGAGAAAAGAAAAATTGCTAGACAGTAGAAGATGAGAAGAAATAAAGAGGAAAGAAAAGAAAAAGGCCAGAAGATGAGCAGAGAGGAGGTGAAGGGGAGGAAGGAGACAAGTGGACAAAGGATAGGAAGAGAAGAGAAGGTGATAAAGGTTCAGAGGGAAGATGTAGGAAGGAGAATGAAGGAAAGAAGGAAAAATAATAGGCCTAAAGAGAAGGTAAAAAAGGAAGGATAAGAGGAAGGATGAAAGCAAGGGGGCGATCAAGAGGTTAGGAGAAGCTGTTGAGGAGGGAAGGAGAGGAAATGATAATAAAGGACTGTTATTAGGAGGAGAGGAAAACTGGAAAGGGAGAGAAAGCACAGAGGAAAGAAGAAGAGAGAAAAGGGAACACGGGGGAGGAGAAGATAAGATCTCAAAGTAAGAGCTTAGGAGACAAGGACAGGGACGAGCAAAGGGGCTAAAGTTTTACACTTCACCTTGAAGCTTTAGGAGTTTCACCCAGGCCCCCAGGAAGTGCACCGGGCTTCGAAACCAATTTCACATAGTGGCCAAACGATGGAATTACAACTGCAGAGTCCGTCCCATGATGGCTTTGACTTTTTCCCATGACTCATTTTAGTATCAGAATTTGATCCAGTTGGTTTGATAGCTTTTGAAAAGTCGTGAAGAGTCACACGATTAAGTCATTTACACCCATTCAGTTTGGTGGAGAGCTAAATAGGAAGTAGCCGACTCGGATGGTGGAAGTCATTATAGGCCCAGTGAAGCAGTGCTGATGCATCAGTTGAACGATTGTGGCCACTGAGCAAGTTTCGTAGGAATGAATGGGGTCCTGCCCCTGATGCTGTATCCACTTCAATTTATACGTCTATGGTTTCACTGTAGGGGAGACCGGGGATGATTGTAACACTTTTTGTTTGAGCAAGTGTAACTCAGTGGGTTTTTTTGTTAGAGCTCTTAAATTTTGATATGTGGTTCCATATTTGTCTGCTATAAATAACACACTCTTTGACCTCTACTACACCATCACAGATTATGGAAATTAATGTGAGTTGTAACACTAGCTGGGGATGGATGTAACAATTAAATTATTGTGCTTAAAAAAAGATTCACAATAGGCTAAATGTATTCAAGCACTTCAATGAATAATAAAGAATGAACAATAAACTTGTAAGAATACAATAATTATAATATTAAAATTAATAGAAATGTATAACATAAATACAAAAAAGGTTGACGTTTGAACAGCATTTGAACAGTTGAACAATAAACACTTTTTTTTCAGTAACTATTATCTGAGCAAACTAAGGCATAATACCTATAGCCTATTTTAATCTGATTGGCAGTTGTGGCAAATGTAGATGTCCTTGCCAGGGGTGCAGGCTTCATGGGACCAAAATCCCCACTTTTTAAGAACTGTTACAACCCTCCCCATGCCTAGCAGCCATGAAAGAGCTAACAGTTTTTAGCATTTAGCTTCAAAGCTAGCACTAATGAAACACATCAAATTAAACTAGAGAAGCTACTACTTGAACCTATGTAAGCGAAACAATTGTACATACAACACAATGGGCACTATGCAAAAAACAACTGTGATGAAAATGTTTGGTTTCTCACCTGAAAAACTGTTTTTTGGCTCTAGAACAGACAAATTTGGACTCAGAGACATGTGGCTTCACCAGTGAGCTCCAATTGTAAATGGGCATGGACTACGTTGATGATGTCACCACAGCTCGTTTCTAATTGGCCAAACTGAGAGTGTTACAACTATCCCTTTGTTACAACCATCCCCGGTCTCCCCTACCCACCGCAGCATGCACCTCCTTGAAAATGTAAATACACGTCAGGGCTACGGATTTGTTCAACTGTTCGATCGTCTCAAAGACAATGGGTCAAGCACCGAAAATATGTCAGGAAATACCTCACTGTGAAGCTTTTCTGTGTAAAAGATGGTTGCTAACAAGAAGCTAAATGAGACGACAGAACCTCATCCATGACGTGACAGCATCGTTGTGATGGCGATGTTCAGTCATATGACCATGACGTAGTTTCTTTATAGCCTAACCTAGCCCAATGATTGCATATGTGTTTAAAAACAACAAAAATGGTGTTCATTTGTGAAGATCATCATGCTGAACAAAACATGTAAGTATCATGAAAGTTTGTTCGCCACAGACCTTATTTTCTGCAACAATCCAAAATCCAAAGGAAACATCCCACTGGCTTTTTGACGAGGGAACCAGGGCGACGCTACCTTCCATGTGAGCCTACAAAAAATGTAATCCCTGCTGTTAGCAGTTTTGCAAATACACACAGATTAATTTGGCTGTTTCATTTTCTGGTGTGAAGGAGGAGAAAAGGAAAGCAAGAAATCAAAGATGGCGAGGAGAGAGGCGAGGAAAAGACACAGCGTAGAGTAACAGAGAAATTTGAATTTATAAGTTTCAGCACCCCACAAGTGTGTGTGTGTGTGTGTGTGTGTGAGAGAGAGAGAGAGAGAAAGAGGAGGGTTGGAGGAGAGAAAGGCATCTAATGAGCCCCACTGTGAGAGAGACGCCTGTTTTTCTCCCAAATATTTGATATCTGCTGCTGCTGTCCACACGGGTCATCACTCTGTGTGTATGTGTGTGTGTGTGTGTGTGTCTACTGCCAATCAAACACTTGTTTTTCTGCATGGAAATCTCCTCCAATATCACTCAGAAAGTTTCTTTTCACAATGAGAGCTCCACTGTCGACATGATGGACAGCTCTCAACATCTGCACGTGTTGTGGTCTCTCTGGCTGCTTTCACACCTGCCCTGTTTGGTTCGGTTCAATTGAACTCAAGTTCCTTTGGGCAGGTGTGAACACAGCAATCACACTCAGGTGTGCACCAAAACAACCGGACCTAGACCTTCTTGAAGAGGTGGTCTCAGTCCGGTTCCAAAGGAACTCTGGTGCGGTTGGTTTGTGGTGAGAAGGTGTTCCGACCTGGATGTGAAGCAACTGCAGTCACATGACACATTGTTTGGGTTAAACATGAGCATGTTACAGTCCTGGAGGATTATTAATGTGCACCTCCTCCTGTACTGCCTTAATATGCACATTCAGCACATCCAATGCATCAAAACATTGTTTTCTAGTTGGAGCCGCGCCTCGTTTTCAAACTGTATGGTTTGACTAAAATGAACAATGACAGCAATATAGTCCACGATGAGCAGCGCTAAAATCAACCTGCGTAGTTGTCCCTCCATTGTGACATTAGAAAGTGTCACATTTATCTTGCAAGTGTACTCTTCTTCAACGTTTGCTTTACTTCCTGGATTTTTCCCACATGGAAATTCTGACCAATCAAGAGCAGCTTTCTCACACAAGGCATTTGATCTGGTCCTCTTGTAAATGCTGCCGTGAGAACACGAACCAACTCCAGGCAATTGTACAACTTTGGAACAACATGAGTCCCTGATTCAGACCAAAAGAGACCACTCTAGGGCTGAAAGAACCCTGAGTAAGAAACACTTGGAATCATAAGGGATGTTGTGTTTATTAGAATCACTCTGTGTGTGTTGCGTCACATCAGCCGTGTTTGTCATGTCTGTGGCATCACACACAGTTTGTGTCTCACATATTTAGAAACCCTATGAACAACTTGTGGCGATTCTAATTTTGGTGATGTTTTAATTTGATTAGAAGGATTAAAAACTTTGTCTCTGTGAGCTTTGGTTTGATCAAAGCCTGAGCTGAACTCACTGCTAAAAAGAAGCTGTGTTTTCTATTTCTTAAAATAAAATAGGTGACATATTCAGAAGCAGAGCTGCAGCTAACACTCATCTTAAATTAACTTTTTAATCTGTCTTCTTTTTAAAGTAATCATTTATGCTATAAAATGTCAAAAATGAGAGATGCCAATCATGGTCCACTAAGAAACGAGGTGATGTGCACAGATTGCCTAATTAGACTCAGTGTCCAAAGGTTGATGAAAACAACTGGAGAGTATAAATAAATGTTTATAGTCAAAGCTGAGATTAATAAAATCTGTCAATCAGCTCTTCAACTTCAACATTATCAAGCTGGTAACGCTGCCCTGATCTCCACTTCCTCCCTCCAGGTGCCAACGCCAAGCTGCGCTACCAGATCACCTCAGGAAACACGATGGGCACCTTTGACGTGGAGCCCGAGGTTGGCACCATCTTCGTGGCTCAGCCGCTCGACTACGAGATGGAGCAGCGCTTCGAGCTGCGGCTAGTGGCCTCCGACGGGAAGTGGGAGAACGAGACGCTGGTGGTGGTTCAGGTGGTCAACCGCAACGACGAGGCGCCCGTCTTCAGCCAGACGGAGTACCACGCCGCCGTGACAGAGGAGCTCACACAGCTTCCTGTTTTCATGCTGGAGGTCAGTCGTTGTGTTTGTATGACATCATTTTAAAGGCCTCTCTGCCTGATAGCAGTGTAAATCACTAGTTTTATTATCACACAATATTATGTCAGTTTGGACAACAATATGATATTTGCTGATTTCACAAAGTCCATGAATCGATTTTGATTCTATTCAAGTCAGGGGTCTGCGTTTGACTTGAGACGATTGATAAATAAAGGCGGATCCTAAAGATGATGATATGGATCCATGTTTTTCCTCTACACTGATGATATTGGATCGTTTATTATTAATTCGATACATCCATTAAGATCAATGGATCGTTAAAAATGTGCAAAAATTCAAGCATATCTGACATAATCATGAGCCAGAAGTTTGTGCATAACTCATGTATTTTGTAAGGCTGTGATCACATGACCAATGTGCTGGTGGGAGTAAAGAAGGAGGCGTTTCCGAGCGGTGCAGTTAGGAGGAAGGTTGGGTGGTGGTCAGGAAAAACAGGACTTTTTCCAGGAGGTTGTTGTTCGGATATGTGTGAACTTTGAGTCCTCTCAAGGTACGTCATGTCCGTGTTTCTTTTCCGTAAACCTAACCTCCGGGACTTTATGTTAACTGTGTAACTTTACATTAAGGACTCAACGTTATGATACGATACGAACCATTGGATGAGGAGAAGATGAGCATGTTGTATGTTTTTGACTGAACACTGATCAGATGTCTGTCCAGTCCACATCAATCTGTTAAAAATGCAAACATGAGAAAGTAGCACCTTCTGAACGCACCTCCACCGTGACGGAGCTGTCACGAAAATGTCAGTTTATACGATCAAGATGTGAAAATGTATCAGGTTTAATACAGACAAATCTAATAGTGCTGGTCACGCTTCAAATGTAGAGGTGAATCAGCCCGGAGCGACACCTCAGCACAGATCCAGTGTCCACATACTAACACATCACATGTGTGTGACATTGTTTAACACAATATCAAATTTAACATCCACCAACCTGACAGGAAGGAACCAGGAACTGAAAAGTTGCCTCAGAAAGTCAGTCGACCTCCTTCTTCTGCGGCTTTCATCCGCCTTTCGTCACACCTATCTCTGGTAATTCACGGTAATATGCATGTACCGCCAAGCTAAATCAGATTAGAAAGGTGGAAGTGCGTCGGTGAGGCCCGGGATGAAATCCCCGTCAGAGAGGCATGTGTCACCGAGTCCTCAACCCGGGCCTGCTCCCCCTCGCCTGCTGGAATTGATTTGATGTACGCTCGGTTCCTCTCAATAGTTTTCCCCGGCCCCTCCCTGAACGCGGGCCGCTGTGAGCCCCGTGTGTTAATACAATTCAGCAGATAGTGAACAGAGGGGAAAATCCAATTTGAAATGAATATTCTTTGACTTCACCTGCGTGGCAGCCTCCTCTGTGGCACCGCGACTGCTCATCTTCAATATTGTCTACCTGCATCACGTTGTCAGGGAATGCAGAGAGCCAACAAGGGGGGAGGTGGCAGCAGGGAGGAGGGAGGATGGAGGGGGGAGAAAACTTCAAAGGCTTCTGTAAACAAACCCTCCAGTGAGAAAAGAGGAGAAGAAAGGGTAAAAGTGTACTTTTTTCTTGCTTTTGTTGGCGTCTATTAACTTTTAATTGCATTGTGTGTCGAGGTGACAGATGTGAGAGCTGGTGTCCCCTCGTTCAGAGAGATAGCAGGAAGGCAGGTTAATTAAGCAAACAGGACAAAGCAACAGAGAAATGTTTATTCCTGTGTTGCACAGTCCCTGTGTGCAGGGGCAGCTGCTGCAATCAGCTCCCTGCCGCATGTCCTATTTGCTGGGCTTGACATTTGTACATAATAAAAAAACCAATTCAACTGTTTTGATAAGAAAAAAAGAGAAAGAACAAAAAGCAATAGTTCCTGTGAAGAGGGAGAATGTTTATTTCAACTGAAGAGAGAAGTCAATGTTGCTGCTTTGACCGGCTTGCTAAAAAAAATGTGACAGTCAGCGACCATGTTTCATTACTCGTATAATGAAATCCATTTCATTAGCAGATGTTGGTGACTTGTGGCTGATTGTTTTTACATGTTTGTGAGTTTAAAAGTCTTTTAATATCACCAAAAAGACCCACTCTGTAATACTGTGTTCACTGTTTTCAGTGTTCTGTAGCAAGTACAATAACCTGTTGAAGTTTTGTGCTGTAATTCTGATTGAATAGTACCCATTTTTAAAAGGAGAATAGTCAAATAGTACTTAACACACAAAAGCAAAAGATTAAAAACATAAATGGATAGAAAAGCTTTTAAAAATTAAGATTTTGTTAAAGGCATTACAGAACACAAGTGTTTTAAATCAGGCTTTTAAACAGCTCTGATGGGCATTAGGATCTCAGAATGATTCAGATCTAGTTTGTTTGTTCGATGTGTCCCCCAACGACGTATAAAGGCCTTAGCTTTGTGTGAGTGGCCACATTGGAAGGCCGACCTCCTGGCTCCTGAAAATGTACAAAAACTACGGACCCTGATTACGCTGATTTGCATCCCCTTGGCTGTTGCCCCTACAAAAAATGCTGTGGCAAAGAGCATTGGGCAAAACAGCATGATGCATTTTTAGAGCAAGGTTGCGTGCACAACTGGGCAATCAGATGTGACTTACAGGTGATCTCTCTACATTTGCCACCGTCACACTGTCTCTACCACATAAAACAGTAGCCTACCTGCTTGATTTGATTGGCTGCCTGGGCCAGGTTTGACATTTAGGCTTTTCACACTGCTCTAAGCATATTGCTAAGGGAGCTATTAGCCACAGGGAGCTCTATTCTAAGGGAGCTGTTAGCATCAAGCTAGGTGAACTGTTTGCACCAAGCTAAGGGATCTGCTAGCTCCAGGCTAAGAAAGCATTTACACTGGCACAATCCTCACTCCTCCTCCAAGTGGGCTAACCCTGACTTAAGCCTAAGGCCTGCTCCAGATGAGGGTTATCCTAGAGTTTGCAGGGTTATCACCTGAAAATGGCCTTAACCTGTGGGTGAAAGTTGCCAGTGTGAAAGTAAAGGCTGATTTAATAATATAATTTTAGAACGTTAACATGAGTCACATGTTACATGTAGAGAAAGACATTTATAAATGCTAATTAAATTATATGTTGGGACTACAGATGGAAATTAGCAGTTATTGCTAAATCTGGTGCAACCATCTCCTCATCTCTTGTAAATGATTAATGCTATTGCACACTGTCCCTTGATAAACTAAATAAACTAAACTAATTAGCAGACATCTACCAGATGGCCTGAAAGGCTGACGGGAGTTACGTAAAAGAAATCAGAAATGTGTCTCATTTTGGATATTTTCTTGTCCAACCCTCGCAGGTGTCGGCCACAGATCCAGACCAAGAGGCCGACCAGACTGCCCTGCGTTACTCCCTCCATGGCCAGGGTGCCGGCGGTGAGTTCACCATTGACGAACGCACAGGAAGAATCTATGCCCAACGGCGCCTGGACCGTGAAGAGCGCCCAGCCTGGAGATTCCTCGTCCTCGCCACAGACGAGGGAGGGGCAGGACTCACAGGATTTGCTGATGTGCTGTTAGAGGTCCGAGACGTCAACGACAATGCACCCTTCTTCCCCTGCCCGGCACTGGAAGTGGACGGATGTTTTGTTGGCCAAGTGCCTGAGAATTCACCTGCCGACACTTCCGTCATGGAGATGCGCGCCATGGACCTGGACGACCCCAATGAGGGCAAGAACGCCATGCTGACCTACAGCATTATCAAGAACGTCCGTAACGAGATTAACCTCAATCTGTTCTCCATCAACGCCAGCACAGGGACAATCTACACGGTTCTACGTTCCTTGGACCGGGAGGCAGAGGACCGGTATCTGGTGGTGGTGGAGGCCAGGGATGGAGGGGGTTTAGCGGGAACAGGGACAGCCACCATCATGGTTTCAGATGTCAATGATCATCCACCAGTGTTCACTCAGAGGGTCTACACCACTCAGGTGAGTCCACCACGGCAGGGCAATATCATTTGTTTGATTCTAACAACAAGGCAACTCAAAGAGTTTACATTAGAGATTTTAGAAACTCAAGGCGATATATAAAGTCACCATTTATAATAACAGTGTTAATGACACATGATGTACTTCTGTGGTGTCCTCTGGTGTTCAGGTGACGGAAGACCTGGAGGTGAACAGCGAGGTTCTTGTAGTTTCTGCCACAGACGGAGATGAGGGTGAGAACGCTGTGGTAACCTTCAGCATCGTTGGTGGTGACGAGGACAGGAAGTTCTTTGTGGAGACAGACAAAGTGAACAGACGTGGTGTGATAAAACTCAAGAAGAAGGTTGACTTTGAAAAGCCCCGTGAGAGGACTTTCAATCTGACGCTGAAGGCTGAAGACGCTGATTTCTTCAGCCTGGCCTACTGTCTTGTTCAGGTGGAGGACGCCAATGACCACGCCCCCGTATTTTTCCCACAGTTCTACGAGTCACCAGCCATGTCCGAAGACGTACCTGTGGGGACAATTGTTGCTCAGGTTACAGCTTCGGATCTGGACTCAGGCCAAAACGGACGCTTTTCTTACAGTATTTCAAAAGAGTCGGACCCTTACAGTCAGTTTCTGGTGGACCAGTCCGGTTGGGTGGTCGTGGCTGATTCTCTGGATAGGGAGAAAATCTCTCAGCACAGGATCATGGTCCTCGCTACAGATGCTGGGAGTCCACCAATGACTGGCTCTGCCATTGTCATGGTGACTGTACTTGAAATTAACGACAACGGGCCGGAGTTCGAGGTCTCCTATAAACCAGTCGTTTGGGAGAACACAGCGGCTCCCCAGGCGGTTCAAATGAACGAAACATCTCTGCTCCTCCATGCCACCGACCGAGACACCTCCCCCAAAGGCGGGCCATTCTCCATACGGCTGCTCATGCTCACCTCAGACGCCACCAACTTCAATTTGACAGACTTTCGTAACGGCAGCGCAGCCATCACCGCCCTCCGGACCTTCGACCGTGAGAGGCAGAAGGAGTACCGCCTCCCGATTCTTATGATTGACAGCGGCTCTCCTCCAATGAGCTCCACCAGCACGCTGACAGTCGTCATTGGTGACAGGAATGACCACCCTCACTCACCAGGACACACTAACTTCATCGTCTACAGTTATGAAGGTATGTGTTTAGGATTTTTGTTGCCTGATTCATAGAGACAGATTATTTTGCTTCATATTTAACATGCAGGAGCCGAGTAGCTATTTTGGAATTTGAAATACATAAGTCAATATATTTTCTGATATGATGGTATTTTTCTCTGGATTGGTGCCTAACGTTGGTGCATTGTTTTTGACATTGCATTGTGAATATTTTGGGTCTAATATTAGGTCATAATAATTCTCAGTGCAGAATTGGGTAACGCAAAATGAGTTTCTTAACCTTTTTTGGCCTCTGAACCCATAGTTTTGCCCCAAATTTCCATGACCAAAAGTATTGGAGAGTTACAAATTTTGTATCTAGCATATATTTTGGCATTTTTCTTTAAAAAGCATGAAGGCAGTCATAAATGAATGGTTTGTAAACAGTGAATATACACCATCCTCAATACACTATGCTGTTTCTGATATTTAAAATTGATCTGCAGACCAAACAAAGATCATGTTTTGACTTAAAATCTCCACATAAGGTGGCATGAAAGCCACTGGAAAAGCAGGGATAGGTCAGTGAGTACCCAGCACCCAGGTTCAGTGGCTCAAACACCGTTGGGAAACACTGTGATGTGTTGGCAAAGAACACCCAGGTTCAGTGGCTCAAAAGCCGTTGGGAAATGCAGTGATCTGTCGGTTAAAAACACCAAAGTTTGGTGGTTCAAACGCCACTGGGAAATGCCACAATGTACCACTAAAAACACCCAGTTTGGTAGCTCAAAAGCTGCTGGAAAAAATGGCAATGTGTTGGTGAAAAACACCCAGGTTTGGTGCCACAACACTGCTGGGAAATGCCGTGAAGTACCACTAAAGACACCTAAATTCAGTGGCTCAAATGCTGCTGGGAAATGTCTCAATGTGGTGGTAAATAAACACCCAGGTTTGGCGACTCAAAAGCTGCTGGGAATTGGTGTGATGTGTTGGTGAAACATTTATTTGGTGCCACAAACTCTAGTGGAGACACTGCGAAGTGTTGTCAAAAAACAACCTGTGTTATTGTTTGTTGGTCGGCAACTTGGCAGGCATCTCGCCTATTTGTTATGCCATCCACCATCCCCTCCACCTCCTGATGACAAAGTCAGCTCATACACTGCATCACTTTAGAGAAGTCGATATGATATGTATAGAAATGTAACATATCTGTGGTTTGCAGGAACGTACAATGCCACTGTTTTCTTCTGGCGTCTTTTTCTTCCCTTGTGAAGTTCACAGCTCCACTGTTGAACAGCTCTTTTAGATTTTTGGGGGTTTGTACTTGTTAACCTTCATGTTTCCAGGAACACTCTTTGCTGAGTGCACTTGCTGTTTTTTTTTTTTGTTGTTGTTTTTCATTTCACACCTGAGAGCCTCAAAGTACAACCTGCTATTTTCTGCTCCACTGTAGAAGCTGCTTTTGTCAAAGACATCGTGATTGTAGATGTGGACGGCCAAAAGAACATTTGTCATGCATCCTCCCAGTTCACCGGCTAGTCTGAGGGATTCAAACTGGTGTCTTTCTAGTCACAGACGGGCTCCTCTAACCTTCAGGTCCCATGGTGTCCCTCCCACCACCTCCTGAGTGCTCTGTGCTCGTGTTGTTAAGACTGTACTTGTCACAGTCGACTGCTCACAGCCTCCCGCTCCAGCCCACATCACTTATTTAGCGTTTCATACCATCTGTCAGCCTGCTGTAATTTGCTGGAAAAACTAAGGTTTTCTGTAATGTATTTTTAGTGGATTCCCTCTCTGGGGCCTTTTCCACATGAAAGTACATTAACCCGCTAATACAAATCCATCACGTAGCTCAACAACATGCCATGAAGCAAACAATTAACTCCAGCTTAAGTCCCAGGTTTGACGAGCACATAAACAGGAGCCATTTTTAAAAGGCAGCTGATTTCACAGCTAAAGAGATTACAGCGCTGCGTTCAGCTTTTTTTGGGAGAGGGGAGAAAACACTGTGCGAGCAATTCTAATGCGTGCACATCTTCCTGCTGTGTTGTCAAAGCATGGCCGTGCGTGCCGTGGAGGCGTCGCCCGCCACCTTATCTCCACTTTCTTTCCTTCACTCTTAATATGTTGGTTGTACCACAGGGATCCTCTGCACTCAAAACTAATTCCTTTCAAAGCCAGTGCAGTTTTTGACTTTTCTGTGTGTCTTTCACTTCCCTCCTCCTGACAGGTATTCTCCCGACGACGGTGCTCGGACGAGTTCAATCCCCCGACCTTGATGACTGGAGTGAGAAGGTGTACCGGTTCGAAGGCAAACCATCCAGGTACTTTGATCTCATGTGGTGAAAACACTGAGGTGACATGCAGACAGAGAGTGATGAAGGTGAAAGTAGAGATGGAAAATTAGTAGTTAGGCATGTCTGTGTTGAAGGAGAGCAAGGCCACATGGTAATAAGTAGAGAGGCCGCATTGCAAAGAAAAAAAGAGGTGGAAAGAAATGGAAGCGATAACAATGCAAGAAGATGTAGAGGCGTATAAAGAGAATCCAGTCAGAGGATTAGAGAGAGGCAGGAGTGCTGACAAATACTGGTAAAGACTTTCAGCTGGCTGTTCGTTAGGTAGCACGAGTAGAAATTATTTATTTTGTCTCATGGGAAACTTGACTGTTTTAGAGAGTGATGGGCCTGTAAAGATAATTACCTCACTGACTTATCATAGGATATGTGGACATGACCTCGATCACCACATGTGTGTTAGTTTACATAAGAGTGTCAACAAAATTTTAGCCAACATGATGCCAGAATGAACAGCTGGGTTTTCCAACACGTTAAAAAAACTTGGGCGCAGTGATTCTCTATTTCGAAGAAAAATGAAACAACACTCCAGAAACGACACAGTGTAGCATGCTGGTAGCCTGCAGCTGCACTTTTGGAGACCTACAGTCCTGATAGTCGTTAGCTTTCCAGGATACAAGCCAGAAAGTTACATGTTTCGAGCTTTACCCTCCAACAACTTCATCCTACACTCCATAAATCCATCAGCCTTGCTCCCAGGCTGTTCACCTCCGGGAACCAACTACAGCACATTGACCAGATCATGGAGGTAACTGCGGTGTTCTTGGAGCCTTGCTAAGCATGTCTGTTAAGCAGTATTTATACGTCTAGCATCTACGGCGTAGCCTCTGCATAGAAGTATACCCTACGACACACTGTAGCTTGACGTGCATCTCATTAGAAATGTAACTACATGTCACAGCAACACAGACCTCTGAAACCATTTCCCTCAGTGGAAATTAAGCTTTTGTTTACTTTTATTTCATGGATAAGAAACAATAAATTGTGAAGACAATAAAGCCTCACAAAATAACATTTGAAGTCCCATGTGATACATTTCTGGGGAGGTGCACGTCAGGCTACAGCGTAGGGTACGACGTAGGCTCTATGTAGGTACAGTGTCGATTCAACGCAGAAGTACAGCTCATTACATTAGTGGGTAGAGCTGGCGTCCCATAAATGAAGGCAATGTCCTTGCCACAGCAGCCGTGGGCTCAATCCCAGCTTGCAGCCGCCTGCTGCACATTACCCCCCCCCCCCCCCCCCCCCCCCCCCCCCCCCCCCCCCCCCTGTCAGAAATCTTTTTTTTAAAAAAAAAGAAAATTGCAATGATATCGTTTATCACAATTATTTCTGGAACAATATATCATCCAACAAAAGTAGTTATTGTGACAGACCTAGAGACCAGGATGCATTTTTTTATGATTCCAAACAGTTGTTGGTTTCAATTCATTTCTGTCAACGTTAACTTTCTGTTGTGTTATATAATGTAGCAGCGAGTGCGGTGCCTCTGACAGTGGGAGGAACACATTCAAAAATGCTGATTGAATGCATGATTTCTAGTAAATGAACTTGAGAGCACGTCGCTGTGGGCCTGTAAGGAATGCAACATGTTACAATGAGCAAAATATTAAGAGCTCACAACACTAAATCACAAATGCAGCACATTGTCTAGCTTTCTTAGGTTTTATTCATCCCTGAGATTCCTCAGTGCTGCGAGCGCCACAAACTAAATTCCATCCAACTTCACTGTGGAGACAGAAATTTCAAGGACGTCTCAAAACTAAAACTATCCAGAGTTATAAGATGGTAAAGAGTTTACACAAGTGAGAGATCCAGTTTTTTGTAGTGTGGTGAAGCTATCTTTTGAGTCATCAGGTAGACTGAAATGAAACAAATAAAATCAGCAGGTAAATAAGTGTCAGCAGGCGGGTTTAATCCCTGTGGAGTTTAGCTGCTGCCATTTGGACCAGCTCCACTCTAAATGTACACACTCCTGTTCGTCACACTGTGAGTAGTTTTGGATGAAAGCATCCAGAGAATGGCAGATGTAAAGCTGTTTCAGGATGTGTTGGAGCTAAAACAGAGAAAGATTCCCTCTTAAAGTGTCCCCTCTCATGTGACACGCAGCAAGAGATGCATAAAGACAAAAGGGAGGAAATAAAAGAGCGGCACAGGAGCTGACAGATTTAAAATAGAGAGGAAGAGACAGTACAAAGGTGCGGTGCGACAAAGAGGAGAGAGGAAAACTGGGACAGAGAAACAGGCAGTTTGAAGGGAGAAACAAAGAAAGAGTGAAAGAGAATGAAAGGGCAGAGGACAGGGAGGAGAGAGAGATAGAGAAGGGGATCTGACTTGTCAGGAACAGTGCTATTAATACTTCATAACCAGCGGTATTGAAAATTCCCAGTGAAGCACGGCGAGGGCGCACTCGTTTTGTTTGATGAGGCGAGGCTTCATGCGGACGTGTTGAAAGGAGAGCCTGATTGCGCTCCCTGCCACCTTCTCTTCTAACGAGATGCCTATAAGGAGGGACGACAAGAGAAGACAAGAAGCGTACGAGAACAAAGGAACTGCCGGAGAATTACCATCCTGAACCGCCGCTCCTCGTCACTCCAGGCGGCAGATGGCAATTTGTTCGCAGTATGGATCAGGTTTAGGTTGCATGTTATTTACATGTAGAAATGATACAAACTAGATGAAAAATAAGAAAGAGCTCAGTGATCAGGTGAGGTGAATCAGCCCCAGCAGGCCAATAACAACATGTCACAAACAGCGTGTTGCATATAAAGAGCAGATATCAGCCTCCTGCCTCAGCAGACACTCATTTGTTTGGAATTGATTTGCACTTTATATCTCCTCATTTGTTCCCTGTCAGCGAAGTGTTGCAGAGTTAAAGCGTGACATAAATCCAGGAGAAGGTACGTAACAGCCTCCCCTGCAGCAGCAGTGGCGGCGGCACAGGTTCGATGCCGGATGCATTTTGGCTTCGATTCAGTCTCGGTTAATTAATCCGTCTGGTTCTGAGCTCTGAAGGTCGCCGCAGTGCAGAGAGGTTAAACAGTTACATGAGCCTGATGGCACAGATTCAGAACCAGGTTTGGACCCGGGCCACATCGTCTGGGATCGACCCTCCTGTGCAGCAGAGCAGAGAGCGCCAAAGTTTTCCAGATCAAGAACCCCTCCCCCCGTGGATCCATGTTCAGCCACTGACCTCCATCTGCTCAGAGTTTGATCTGACAAATCCCATCTGAGAAAGACTTGGAGAAAAGATGAATAAGAGCATCAGGCCAGACTTCATTTCACTCCTCGAGGTGTTTCCAGACAGGACGAACTGCTGCCGATCAGATATTGATGTTTCTACCAATTAATTTTGCTTTCCCAAATGATCCCAAATCTGAATTTGATATTTTGCAAACCACAAAAAATCTGTACAAATATAATATTTCGTCTCCCTGAATAGAATCAGTATTGTGTGAATAAGGCTGAGGAAATTTATTTTAGACTCGCCTGCTTGATGAAACCGTCTTTGTTTGTGACTCTTGCTGTGATTTGTACTTGGAGGTCGGAAGTCGGAAGTGGGAATGACGTCACCTCCGAGTTGACAACAGTTTTTGCATTCTAATTGACAACGGTGTACAAGTCAGAAAAAAACATGGACGCCCGCAAGAAAGCCTTTGTTGCCCTTGCACTTTCGGAGTATAGACAGCTTCAAAACCATCATGCACTCCAACTGATGAACGCCGCAGATGAGGCTGACCTAATGTGAAACAAATAAGATAAAATTGCTATAATCAGTACTTTAGCAGAGTGTTTACTCACTATTTATGTGACCAGCAGCCATCTTGAATTCGTAAGTCGGGGTTGATGGGGTTGCTCCAAGTTTCTGAGTTGGAAATCCGATCTCAGGGTGCGTTCGAGTTTAAACTTCCGACTGGGAACTGGAATTTCCGACCTCTGAGTACAAAATGAACGCACCATCTTTACATGTAGACGTGGCTTTTCTATTCAAATCTATCGTCTTTTTTACTTCATTTTGCTTCAAAATGAGAAATGTAATCCATTGCCCAAAGAGTTTGACTGTGTTTAATACAGAATGATCATGAATTAGGGTCAGACGTGTGGTGACCTGTTCAGATAGACCAGTGTGTGCAGAGTGTGTTGATGAGATGTGTCTCTTTGAAGCCATATAACCATATTTTGGCTCTTTATGTCTGCCTGTTTTGCCACACCTGATGTATTCTTTAAATTTAACTAACTCCAAACTTAGATAACTTTGTTGAAGGTTGTTTTAACCTTACAGGATAAGTTCAGATATTTTCTAGTCCACACTCACATCTTCCTGTCCATACTGGTGACAGCCCAGTCACAAGAGGAAATTATTGGTATTGGACATTTCTGCAAATGATGAATACATTACATTTGTTTGTTTCATAGTATCAACATTTACTGTTTGAGACCAACAAACCATATGTTTTTAGTGAGTTATGGTTGTTTATACAGGCTTTTACCAAACGTGGGTATTTTTAAGAACTCGTTGCTGTTTTTCCTGCCAGAAAAGTGGCATCATGAAACGGTTGTTTTTCACTGAGACATCTGCCAAGCTGCAGACCACTGTTTGAGACCAACAAACAAAGGAACCGGTAGTTTGTAGCGTTTCTCCTGTGGCTTTTTAGCTCACTAATGTGGGTCTTTTTTTAGGGACCCATGGTTCTTTTTACAGCAGCTTTTCAGCCCACAAATGTGGGTGTTTTGTTGGGACCTGTTGCTGTTTTCCAGCAGCCTTTTAGCCCCCTAATACGGGCCTGTTGCTATTTACCTGTAGGGAACCATTGCTGATTTCCAGCAGCTTTACAGCCTCCAAACATGAGTGTTTTTGGCTGTTTACCTACGAGGACTCGTTGCTGCTGTCTTGTAGCTTTTCAGCCCCCAAGCGTGGGTGTTTTTCGGGATATGGTGATGATTTCCAGCGGCTTTTCAGACCCTAAACATGGGATTTTCTGGGGGACCTGTAGCTTTTCAGCTCCCAAGCGTGGGTGGTTTTTAGGGACCTGTTGCTGTGTTTCCTGCCAGGATAGTGGCGCGACAAGTGCTTGAGACACTGCTAGTGGAGATTGTGCCCCCAGAGCAGGGCGTTTTAACCCAAAGCATGATCATATTCTAACCCTAACCAAGTGGTTGTTGTGCCCAAACCTAACTACATTAACCACAGTGTTGCTGAAAACTTCCAACGTATCTGTGGTCTGCAGTAATGCACAATGGGGGATTAAGTTGGCAGTGGAGTGATCCAAATCTGAGCAGCTTTTCAGCCCACAAACATGGGTATTTTTGTGGGATAAGTTGCTGTTTTTCAGGGGCCTTTTAGCCCCCTAATATAGGGGGTTTTCAGGAACCTGTGGCTGTTTATCTTCAAGGACCTGTTGCTGTTTTCCAGCAGCTTTTCAGCCCCCAAACATGGCTGTTTTTTAGGAACCTGTTACTGTGTTTCCTGCCAGCATAATGGCCTGAGAAATGGTTGTTTTTTACAGAGACACCGCTGCTTTTCCAGTGGAGATTGTGCCCCCAGAGCAGGCTATTAAAACCCAAACATGATCTTTTTTTAACTATAACTAAGTGGTTGTTGTGCCTAAACTTAACCACACTTAACCACAGTGTTGTTGAAAAGTTCCAGTGTGCAAATGTAATGTATGTGTAAAGCATTTAAAGCTCCTCTCTGTCTGTCTCTCTGTGTCTCTCAGGTTGTTCAGTCTGAACCAGAGCTCAGGTCAGCTCACTATCAAGGAGGGGGCTCCTCCAGGCTCGTACCACCTGCAGGTGCGCGTGTCGGACCACATCTGGCCCGACGTCACCTCCACGGCTCAGGTGGAAGTCAGAGAACTGCAGCAGGACGCCCTGAAAAACGCCGCCTCCATTCGCATGAACAGTGAGTCCCACAGGTTTTTTGAAGTTTTGGAATTTGCCTGATCATGTCTCGACTCTCTGACACGTCAAACACATGAACACGCACCCGGTGGTTACCGTGGTAACTGTTGACAGGAGTGCGATGCTGCATATCCCAGAGTGCCGTGGGTCCTGGTCTCAGGGCTGTCAGCTCCCTCAGGCTCCATCAGCACCAACAGTCAGAGATGCATGATGGGAAATAACTGTGTTCTTCTTCTGTCTTCTCTTGTCTCGTCTTCCTTTCTCCGGTTTCCTGCGCTCCTCTTTTTAGAACTTTTTTACTTTTTTTGTTCTCTCCTCCACCCTTTCTTTCTTTCTTTCTTTCTTTCTTATATATTCACTATTTCATTTATAGTTTTAGAACATTACCTATCCCGCTGATGATTCCCCTGAATGTTTATGAAGTCACTAATTGAATCCATTAACCCTCCGTCTCTTCTTCCAGACCTGACGGTGGAGGAGTTTTTCAGCAGCAGTGGAAGTGAGGAGAGTCGATTCTCACGGCTGAGTCACATATTGGCCGAACTCCTGCAGACTTTGCCAGAAAATGTCCAGATCTTCTCTGCAGGTGACGCCGGCCAGCGGGGGGAGAGGGCGCTCAATGTGTGGTTTTCTGCTCACGGCTCGCCGTACTACAAGGCGGAGAAGCTGCACGGTTACGTGGCCGCAAACAAAGCCAAGGTGAGGACAGAGCTAAGCACTGAAATGATTTTCAACATGCTGGCACTGCAGGGTTTCTTTAATGACTTCAGGGTTTAAAGTGCAGGATGGGACATGGGCCAAACTAAAATCTCCATGTACAGGTCAAATACATTTTTCCCAAAGATGGTTTCTGTCATTTTAGGTAGTTGTTATCACGCTGATGTTTGTTCAAGTGATTGTCTGATAAATTTGGTTCTGATTAGTTTTTGATGCAATAAAAAGGGGAATGTGATGTCATTGTCAATCGGTGCTGCTTGTGAAGGGGTATGAGTGGGGACTCCATACTGTGGCTCCACTTACCGATCCCTGTACTGTGCAGACTCTGATGTTAGCAGCGGTGTCAGGGATGTTTTGGCTTCATTCTTGTATAGTGGGAGGAGATGCGTCGTCCATCTTTATACTCAGTGTAAACCAGTGGTTCCCAACTGGTCCAGCCACGGATTCCAGATGTCTCCATAGTCATTAGTTCAAGGTCCACACAATTTCATACATTCAGGGTCATACTTGTGTTTGGCTGTGTCGTTGAGCTAGTTTGCTGGTTTAAACCAAACACTAGAAAAAATTCTTTTGAATACAGAGATCAATACAAGTGCAAAATCTAAGATACAGCTGAGAGTGGATTATTACAGCAGAGAGGAGGTGAACTGACTGATGCATTAATTACACATCAATTAAACATCACATTCATACGTTCATACATTCATACATACATTCAGACAGCACTTACAGACACTTACTGTAAACCACTGAATGCTCCGTTTCACACAAAGTGAGGTTAAATACAGGGTTAAACATTCAAATGTGAAATACATTGAAACACGTCACCCCAGCAAACGGCTGCTCAAATGATCCGCTCACTGTATACATGTAGATGAATATTTCAGATCCATTAAAAGCACGAGAGCAGCTGCTGACCTGAGGTCAGCTCTGTAAGAAACAGGAAGGTGATGACAGTCAATGAAGCATGAAAATGCACATGTTAAACACACATATGCACACTTACACACAGACCACTGAGCGACAGTAATGTTTAAATATGTGAACTATGATAAAAAAAACTGTTTTAAATAAGCACAGAACTGCAGAAGGAATAATAAAAGGGAGGAGACAAAAGCATAAATAAGTACACAGATGAGTAAAAGAAGAATGCTGGTCCTCATCTACAGGGATCGCCATGTTTCTACAGGATCACAGAATGGACAAACTAAACACTGGCTCTAGATTGAGCCATTAATGCATCAGCCACCATAGTTAGAAGCCCCTCTTCGACAAGAGCGTCAGAAAAACGTTGATTTTTTTTTTTTTTTATGTGAAACTACGTTCAGTGTGTTCACCAGGCAGAGACCTCTGAGGGTGATTCAGCTCTGGGTAAAAACCTCCTGAATATCTGGATCAGAAATTAAGTGCGCACACATAAAGTTATCAGAGAAAAAGGTGGCCGCACATTTGCAGGAACTGGGTGATCAGGCCATCTGTGACATGCAAAGCAGTGTAGGAGAAACACTGATTTGTAACGTAAAGCTGCTTTATTTAGTAGCCCTTTTTACACAGTGATCGCTCTCTAGAGCCACAATGAGGTCCTGTCTTTACACCACCTTTGCATTTTTCCACAGAGCTTGATTTTGGACAGCATGCCAGTATCTCTAAAGTAAGAAAGGAGTGATGGGTGTGACACGCAAGGCATACGCATCAGCAGCGCTATATAAACAATAACAATGACATTAATATGTCAATAACAATCATTTAGCGTCCCTGTTTATATGGTGGCTGATCTCGTCCTCTGCTCGGAGGATGAGGAGCTCCTGGACCTTTCTTTTTTTTCCCAATTGAACATTTTCAGTTGCTGTTCCTCTTTCAGTTAGTTGTTAATGCTAACAGCTACTTTTTAAATCTCCTGGCAGCAGGTCACACGTAACACATCATGCCAGCTGTCCATTTTATACAGACATAATTTCAGGGCTACAACCTCAGATGCTAGTCTAAAGGTGAGACAACTCTGCACTCAGTTTTTGGGTAGATGTACTCCAAATACAGGTATAATACATCTGAATACCATCTGAAAAAGTGTTTTATTGAAAAGATTGAAGTTGGATCGGTGCACATAGACCCTTCAATGTTACCATCATTTCACCATGTAACTGTAAAATTTTGAAACTTTGCTTTTGACCTTGAAAAAATAAATCCATTAAATCCAAGGAGGTATACTTTAATATATGATGCAGGAGGGTATTAGAGCCAAGAAAAACTAGTTGCAATTTCTCCCAGTTTGGGCCCATTTTGAGTCAGATTGACTGGACTACTGGGGACAGATTCAGTCCAGCTCATTCTGTGATGCAACTTATTTAAAAATCAATCAAACCCCATAAAAAGACAATCACAACAATACAAAGTATGAGTACCGGAACAAAGCACTCACAGTATGATTAAAAATAACTTGGACATCAAATGCTGCAGAAGAAAGGCGCGTCTTTAATTATCTCAGGTTAAAAGGAAAAGTATTGTGGCTGATTTAGAACAAGAATGTCAGATAAATACAAAATAAGATGAAACTGAAACCGGCTCCGGAGCCCAAAAACTGAAGACCTGCCTGGGGAGTGTAAGTCACTGTGGATAAGAGTGTCAGCTGAATAACTAAACTCCAAAAAAAGAAATGCACACAGTTGGAGAGAGACAGGAAACCCTGAGGGACTCTGATGAAAACCTCTCACCCATAAAGACAAAACGAGGGAAAAGAATCAAGATGACAAGCAGGGAAACGGGTGAATTTGGCAACAGAGAGCGAATGACAGCAAAACTTTAACACAGGGGGAAATGACAGAGAAACACCAAAGTGCATAAATAACATTAAGGGGAACAGGGTAAATGCAGATATCACTGATACAGGTAGACACGAGATCAAAAAGAGCTGCTGTCAGTCTCTATTACGTTCAAACACAGATCACAACTTCAATAATAGTTTGTTTGTTTTAGTTTCACTTATTTTACTTTTTGTTTATATTCTTCACCCAAGATTCAGTTTTAATTGTAGCTTTATGTTCATGTCTCTTCTGCTAGTTTCAATTAGTCTGTTCTCTCAGTGGTTAATTAGCTTCATGCTTCTTTTAGTTTAATCCTCGTTTTAGTTTCTGTTTAACATTTATTTAGTTTAACCTCCTGCCACCCTGCGTACTCATATATTACATTTTGGGTTTACTACCTGATACTTTATTCTTCGCAACTTAGACCTGTTGTCCTCATTCGTGGACACGTTTATGTGCTAGAGGTCGCAGAAGCACAATACACTAATCCATGTAAAAACAAAATGGCGGCCATCTTTGCCAAGTCAGTCCACAGCCGATTCAGACACAAAAGTGGATAAGGCTCAAAACCGGTGAAATGTTATGGCTGAAACTTGTTTATTTATCCTAGATCATTTTTGTAGTTTGATATGGCACACACATTTGACCAATTTTAGCAACAGTATCAAGCTAAACAAGTGTGTTTTTTTATATATACAGTAGCGTCTTTTAGCAGAGAAATAATTCTCTGTTTCCTGCCCAGGGACTACAGATGAAAATTAGCTTATAGCTAACTCTGGTGCAGCTAAGTAGCTGTGCATTGTCCCTGTTAAATGAATAAATAAATAAAATTTTAAAAAAGATTTAAAAAAAAAAAAAAAAAAGCTAAAATGCTGTTAATCAAGACGTATTTGTTTAAGGACATTAGGACTTTATTGTAGTATTATTGCAGCATTTCACACAGGCCAATCAGGTGTGACAGACTTTTCCTACGGACAAAAAGGACATTTATTAATGGGGTAAGGAGCAAGGACAATTGATTCAGAGTCACGAAATAAACAAATGACACGACTTTTAGATCTGTTGAGTTATTTGCAATTTTCTTTTTGCACGGCCATGTTCAGGCACTGAAAACAGTTTTAGACTTGAACAATAAACCCCTAACCCATAGAGTTCCAAAACATTGAACAAATGTTGCACTATTGCGTTTTGCACAATAATGTTCAGGCACTGAAATAAACTGTTTTATAGTTTATACCACACTTAATAACACCTAAATAAACACATTTTCTTCATATGACAACATCATGTTTTTCAAAAACTATTTACTTTTCAGACACAATGCTTAGATTGTGCCCTAACTTATCGTGTCCTAATTATCACGAGAAATTTAAAATTCATACCAATCAAAAGCTGGGTCTCAGAAGTTTCTCTAAGTTTTATCCTAGTTTTACTTTAAGTTAAAACTTATGCTAGTGTTTCTTGACTACTGGTTTGGTTTCCTGTGGCCTGTACAGTTTATGCTAGTGCCAGTTAGCTTCATGCTAGTTTGTTGCAGTAAGCTTGTTGTGTTTAGTTTGACAACTCATGCTAGTTTCTATTATGTTTCCATTAGTGTTAATTATACTTTCAGTTATTTATCTTACTTTTAGGCTGATGCTGTTTTTGTTTTCATATATGTTTTAATTTTTTGTCAGTTAGCTACCTTCATGCTAGGTTTAGAAATGCTTATCTATCCTCAATTCAGCTAGTTCCTGTTTTTATTGTTTACATGTTAGTTTTAGTTTATTGCTAGATTTAGTTTTAGTTTTATTGTAATGTTTGTTTTTGTGTGTTTTATTGTAACACTCCTACACACTTTTAGTTGTGTTAATTCTGTTTTTATGGTAGGTTTAGCCTCAGTTGGTTTCTTGCTAGTTTGAGTCTTGTTAGCCTAGTGCTAACATTAGGTTTAGGTTTGGTCTTCTATGCTGATTTTACTTAAATGCCATGTCTAGTTTTGGCTACCTTAGTGCTTCCTTTTATATGTGGTACCAACTAGTTTTAGTTTGGTTAGCTTCATGCTGTTTCAGTTTGTTTCATCCTAGTTAAACTTCAAGTTAGTTTGGTCACTTCAAGATTAATGCTAATGCTATTCTTAGTTTCATGTATTTTTTGTGTGGGTTTATCTTAGTATTATGCTAGGTTTAGTCCCAGCATCTTGCTAGCTGAAGTGTTATTAGCCTCATGCTAACATTAGGTTTAGGTTTGGTCTTAAATGCTAGTTTTAGTTTCATGCCATGTTTCATCTTCTTTACCTTCATGCTAGTCTCAGTGCTAGGTTTAATTTTAATTGGCTTTTTTAGGTTTGATTTTAGTTAATTTTTTGTTAGTTCAGTTTTAAAATTTCAGTTGGTTATGGTAGTTTGAGTTTTGGGTAATTAGTTAGCTGTTTGCTAGTTTTCGTTTTATACCAGGTTTAGTTCCAGTCCTGTCATGCTATGTAAGTTAAATCATGGTTTCAGTGTTATTTTAATTCCATACTTTCCTTTTAGATGTAGTTTCAGGCTTTATTTTGGTTAGGTTCATGCTGTTTCAGTTAGTTTTATTCTAGCTATACTTTCAATTAGTCCACTACTAGTTTAGTTTGATGTAGAAACCTTATTTTTTGCTTTTTGACATAATCTTCCTGTGTGTCATCCCTTATTTTACCCTCTGCAGTTGGAGGCCATGTTGGGTGTGACCATCTCTCAGGTGGGCATTGACGAATGTCCCAACACAGACTGCAGTCAGTCTGGTGGCTGCAGCAGCGAGGTTTCATTCAGCCAGGCCCCGGTGGCTCTCAGCACAGGAAACACCTCTCTGGTGTCTCTGTCGGCCTCATCAACAGCACGATGCGGCTGCCGAGGCCGAGAGGCGATCCACCTGACCTGCTCCGCCTACCCCACCAACCCCTGCCTCAATGGGGGCACCTGCCAGGATGGAGCACTGGGATACAGGTAGGTGCAGGGACAATCTGTAACAGGTTCGGTGTTGGTCTATTGTGTGTTATAATATCCACTAATCCTGCCAGGATAAGTTTCAATATGAACTGATGGAGTTTTTCTTCCAATTAAAACTTTGCAAAGCTAAACAGATGGAAGTGTGGAGACTACAAATAAATGCTATTGCCATTGAAAGTATTGCCATATACTTTTCTTACTGTAGCAGCTCTGTTTCCTCAGTCTGCTGGTCGTCTGCGGCAGATTCAAGTCCTCAACTGTTAGCGTCTGTGTCTGAAGCTGCCAGAGATTCCCCATTTGTTAAGTGATTAGTAAATCTGTCAAACATTTGGAAGATTTAATAAGAGAGGGGAGATTTCTCCTGGTGCTCTAACCCTCCAAAGCCTCATTTTCGGCTGCATGTGCTGCAGTTGACTTTGAATTGTCACATCATTTTAATGGTTTAAATATCGAATGCAGCACCTCAGCTGCTAAATCTGACAGATGGTTCTCCCTCCTTCGCTTTCTTGTCTCTTTCTTCCGCTCTCAAAAAATCCCATTAACACTGGCAAAGATACACTTTTAATTAACAATGTTTCTGTCAAGGTTTCCTGGACTTGGTTTCTGTTTGTTTCTCCGTCTGTCAGGTCATTTGAATTAATGTTGGTATGTGTGAAAAGAAAACGGCTGCCACAGCAACTGAGATGGTGTTAAATAGTTTCAGATAGTGACCAACGTCAAAGCTGCTGCTGAGGATACACAGGTCAAGTCTTTGTATTGGGTTTGAGAATGTGGGGCTATAATGACCCGAAAATGTTTCCCACAGTTATAAATTGCACACACAGTAGGTTATTAAAGATGATATAATTAATTGCTTTATGACAAAAATATCGAATTTAAAATATAATTTTGGGAGGGAGTTTCTCCTTTATATCCTGGCAGTGTGGACAAAGCAGTGGAACATAATTTAGAGGAATAACACTGACAGAAAGATAACTTAAAGTGTTACATGAATAATTCATATGAAAAAATAATAATAATTAAAGAGGCAAGCAGCGATGATCGGGCCCTCGAACCTTCGCACCTGTCGGGAGTACTGGCCAGCTGATGCGTCTTTTCATTTCTGTTAAAGTCAGACACAGCACGCAGGTGGCACAATCACCATGATACCTAATGTAACTCTTAATTTGGGGCAGATTGGACGATGTATGCTCAAGTTACAACAACTATTTTGTTTATGGGGGAATGTGCAAAATGGCCGCCACGCTACGGTGACGCCATTTGACGTAAACTCACAATTTTCATCACATAGCATCATCAAGCTGTTGAGAGTTTTCCAAGCAAATTTGAGCTGAATGCAATCAAGCTGCTAGGAAAAATAAATGACAGCATAAAACATGTCATTTCCTGTTTCCACTAGGGGGCGCTATTACTGTAGGTTAGTTTTTGGCGTGTAGATGTGTTCAGGGCAGGACTGTTATCAAACGTGAAGTCTGGGGCAGATTGGACCATGTATGCTGTAGTTTCAAACCACTTCCTGTTTGATGGCGAAACACGGAAATTGGACGCCTCGCCACGGTGACACGGTTCAACAAAAACTCAAGCTTTAAGTAACTTTTGATGTCAAATGTCTTTTGATGGTACCAAAAAAAATTTAAATCAGTTCAATCAAATCTCTAGGAGGAGTTTGTAAAAGTACAACCGCTGGAAATGGCCAACTTCCTGTTAGGGTTAGGGTTTGGCTCCAAGAGACTTTTTTTGTACATTTTTGGGTGTTACATATGCCCTCCAAGTTTTGTGTATGTAGGTGAAACCAGCTTTAGGGGCTGCTTCGTAGAAATTTAATGGGGGGCGCTACTGAGCCATTTTCACCAGTTCTGATGTGTGTGCAAAGTCTGATGAGTTTTCAAGCACCTTAGGCAAAAATGTGATTTATTTCAGAAAATAATGATAATTCCTTAACTTTCAATAAGGTGGTGCTCAGGCCCTAATAAATAGTTTACTGAGGATTTAAACCCGCAGTTGGAAAATTTTGAGATGATTTATGTATCATTTTCAATATATAATATTAACCCATCAAACCTCATATATTTGGTATCTTTATTGAGGTACAGATAAGTTTGATCACCCTTACTTTGTTAAGTGATAATATTATCAAGTAAACGATAACATGAACTCTTTCTGTCTCTCAGGTGTAAATGTCCTCCCATGTTCGACGGCCCTGAGTGCCAGCAGACCAAACACAGCTTTGGCGGCCAGGGCTACGCCTGGTTCCCTCCCATCATGCCTTGCTTCCAGAGCCTCATCTCCCTGGAGTTCCTGGCTGAGTCGGCAAATGGGCTGCTCCTCTACAACGGGCCACTCGGCCCCGCCCACTTGGGGGAGCAGGAGGACTTCATCGCCGTAGGTGAGTTTCCTGCTGAGGCTGCAGCTTTTTATAAAGATCATTAGGTGCAGCAGATATTTCTTATTAAAGGCAATAAGTAAGGTATTCAACTATACAGATATCTAGGTAGATAAAAAACTGCACAAACATGGACATAGAATCACTGGCGACTTTATTACGTACACCTGTTCAACTGCTCATTAATGCATATAGCTAATGGGCCAATCACCTGACAGCAGCTCAGTGCATTTAGGCATGGTGAAGACGAGCTGCTGAAGTTCAAACAGAGCATCAGAATGATGAAGAAAGGTGATTTAAGTGACTTTGAACGTGGCATGGTTGTTGGTGCCAGACGGGCTGGTCTGAGTATTTCAGAAACTGCTGATCCACTGGGATTCTCACGCACAGCCAATGTCTTGCTCTGTACCAGAGAGGTGTTGGACGGATAAAAAGAATGACCAGCTGACCAACAAGCAGTTTAGCAGTAGTTTGCAGCCGCCTCAAACTGACGCGTGTGATGCTTCTTGGTGTTTGAAACGCAGCTTCTCTTTGCTAAAAGTTGAAACATTATTTTCAACTTCTAAGCGCTGTAACTAACTAATCTCACAGTGCTGGTGGGAACACGCTGCCGCTCGACCCTTTCAACAAACACAAAGCGTGAATCAATCCAGCGCTGTAAAGACACTTTCTCAGTGGACAAAGAGCTCCATAAACTCTAATGTCAGCTCCCGGCGGTCCTCATGTGGTGTTAACGGATTAGCCTGCAGATGGCCTTTCAAACGCTTCTTGCATAATCTTGTGGCATTAAAGTTATGTAATTATCGAACCCCGTCTGTTGCTACGTGAGTACATGGAGGGGGGAATCAAAGATGGCTGCAGCATTGATCACTTTGAAGCATTTTTCACTTACATGTTCAATAACATAGCTGTGAGGTTGATTGGGTCACACTCACTCATCTGATAAGCACAGCAGCTGAACGGATATTGGAAGACACACACATACACACACACACACACACACACACACACACACACACACACAGAATTGACTGTTCGTGCAGTTGTTGATGGGATTCAGTAGTTTACACAGCGATACGCAGGAGTGATGTCCGGTTCGGTCGTATCATCAACACATTGGCTTTTAAAAAACACTGTGCTCAGAAATCGTCTTAGTAATGATTCTAAGCTTTCAACCTCATCTGGCTCTCTTCATTCAGTGAACGTAGCTTAGGTGCCATCCCACAATCTAAATGTGAACTGCTGTTGAAAGCTCAGAATCATTTGTAAGCGGATCTTTGACCCTGCACTCTCTTCACTGTATACAAGGCTTTACAGATGATAATGGTAATAATAATAATAATAATAATAATAATAATGATGATGCATTTTATTTATAGTCGCCTTTCAGAGCACTCAAGGACACCTTACAAGACACAGTTAAAACGCAAGCAGCAATGTATCCATAGATCGTGAAATCAAACAATACAATAATATACAATAAAAGTTAATAAAAGGACCAGGCAAAAAATCATAATTATAAATGTAGTAGTGTAGATATGAAGGAGTTCAGACAGACACGAATGTGTGTGATTATCAAGGGCCTTTAAGGTGAAGAGCAGAATCTTGACATCAATGTGATATATAACACGAAGCCAGTGAAGCTGCTGAAGAATAGGAGTGATGCAATCTATGGAGGGCGTTCTAGTAACGATACAGCAACTGAATTCTGGACCAACAGGAGTTTATGATGACACTTGAGAGGGAGACCAAAGAGGACAGAACTGTGATAATCGATAAAGGATTTTACCAAAGAGGGAACAGTGAATAGGAGGATAGGGGCGCTGTGAGGTGTAAGTGACGGGTGAAGACGATTAATATTACGTAAATGAAAGTATGCAGACCGAATATCATTATTTATGTGGGCCTCAAAGGATGGATGGATGGATGTACTGTCCAGGGTGACACCCAGACTTAACCTGAGGGGAGGGATGGACTTTGGAAACCAAAGTAGATTCATTCTCTACAAGAAGAAGCTCAGTTTTATCAATTATAAGTTTGAGGAAGTTACGCGAAGCGAAGATTAATGTCCAGTAAACATTCAGAGGGAAGTGGGTGGAGGAGATCTGGCGAATAGATAGAGCAGGATGTCATCAGCGTAGCAGTGGAATTGAATGCCAGATTTTCTTAAGATATGACCAAGAGTTAGAAGGTAGATCATACAAAAGGGAAGGAGACCTAAGACAGAGCCCTGAGGAACACCACCAGTAACAGGAACAGTGATGAACATCGATGTACAGATTCTAAACAGTGATCAAACGTATTAGGAATTCTGTAACTATAGCGCAAATTTACGCCATTTTCACTCAGTATTACTATATCGTTTTTTAGGGACCAGATGAATTTCTGACTTGTGTAAAGCAAGTATTTGTTTCTCTGTTATAGCTGGAGGTTTACAGGCTAAGGAGACTGAATATAACAGAAGCAAAAGCCCCTCCCACATGGGACTAGTATTACCTGTGGATCTCTGGTAATTTGTAATAAGCGCGGAAGTCATCTGTGATGTGTTATTGCCATCTATCCATTTTCAATCGCTTACCGAAGCTGGGTCGCGGGGGCAGCAGGCCAAGGAAGGCAATTCAGACGTCTCTCTCCCCAGCAACGCTTTCCAGCTCCTCCTGGAGGACCCTGAGGCGTTCCCAGGCCAGATGAGATATGTAATCCCTCCAGCATGTTCTTGGTCTGCCCCGGGGCCTCCTACCAGTGGGACGTGCCCAGAACACCTCCAACAGGAGGCACCCAGGAGGATCCTGATCAGATGCCTGAACCACCTCAACTGGCCCCTTTTGACGCAAAGGAGTAGCGGCTCTTCTCCAAGCTCCCTCTGCATGTCCGAGCTCCTTACCCTATCTCTCAGGGCTCATTTATACTCCCTTTACGTACGAAAATGTATACGTCCATTTCAAACGATGTTACCGTCACTGCCCACATACTTCCATGTGCCCTTTACGTTGGCATGGATGTTAACCAATATATCCACCAGGAGGCAGCCCAGAGTCAAAAGTTTATGACAACAACAAACTCAAAAACAAAAATGGAAAATGTGGAGGAGATATTGATAATGTACCTCTTGCATAAAAGACAAAAACAGAGGCAGCGCTGTAGGAGGCGGTGGTCGGTGAGGCTGTTAAATACAAAGTGACTGGAGGACGGAGAATTCTTTTCTCTAGTACTGCCGATGAGAGAAATTGAATTGTTATTTCTTCTTTGTGTCTCACTAGAGCTAAGTATCGGGTAGTAACAGCAACACTGCCCCCACGGTTCCCGGTGGTACTGCTCCGTTTGGCCCATATCCGTAAGCTTTATAGAAACGTGCAGAAATACGGACAAAATGAACGCGGAGCACGGACAGAAGGCTCCGTCCGTATCCGGATCTGTATTTAACATTGAGCATAAATGAGCCTTAAGGCTGAGCCCAGACACCCCACAGAGGAGACTTACGTCAGCTGAAATGAGTTTCCAAGTGTGTAATTTAAAAATTCAACTGCAAATTACCTACCATATTTTGCCAAACAGAGGTCTGTGATAATATTAGTCCCATGCAAAGCGTCATCTCACTGATATGCAGTCGTATTTTTTGTTTTGTCTGCACTTCTGTTCTGCCTCTTCCCTTGTGGAGAATTACAGAGGCTGCGTTGGCAATTATAAATGAAAGTTTTGACAACATTTTGGGTGCAGGAGGCTCATCTTGCTGCACAGCATGGAGACCACAGAAAGAGCAAATCCATCTGAAGAGCAGAGTCTCCAAAGATGATGAGATGTATGACATGTGACAACTGGTGACAGAATCAGTTCTGTTTGTTTAATCCACATTTAAAAGATAAAAGAAGGTGAACACTGTACTAGTCGTGGTGTGTAGTGCTTCTGTGTTGTGTAGAGTGAAGTTACAAATGACTGTGTGCATCATAATGTCAGTAAACTCGAGTAAAATACAGACTTTGTTTATTCTGTGCAAATGTGCAGCATGACACACAGACATCAGGGGTAATCTCTAAATCACACGAGGTCCCCAGGTAATACTGGTCCCGTGTAAACGGGGCCAAAGACAGAGGAAATAACAGTTTTAGGTCATGATTGTAGGAAGTTGTAGGATTTTATATCAAGGCCACTCATGTGGGCAGGAAAACAAAAGACTAAGATTCTCATCCTCCCATTCAGAGTTGAGGAATGGGGTTCCAGCTCTGAGTATAAACCATGGATCAGGAACACTGACCTTGCAGCTGCCGCCGAAATCCACCGTCACTGACCGGCGCTGGCATCGCCTCGATATCATCAGCGACGGAAAGGTACGACAGACTGACTGTGTCTTTCTAATTTCTTTTAGTGACATGATTAAAGGCCAGAAAATTCTGTTGTGTTTCATTTATGAGGAAAATAAACTGCAGAGAGGCTGACGACAAAAGGTTGTAAAAAGTGGTGAATTTGTGTCTCATCGTCTCTGTGTCCAGGCTGTCCAGCTGATCCTGGACCAGTGTGGCGGGTTGGCGGTGAATGAGTTGGAGGGTGTCAGAGGGGACGCTCAGGAGCTGGACGAGTCAGGCTGCAGAGCTTCAGGAGAGACGCCTGGACACCAGAGGTGAGAGCGAGTCTGGAGATGAGATGTGACCCTCCACAGATTTACTGAACGTTTAAGATGAAAATATTTTATAAAGAGACGTCTCTTCTCTTCTTCCTCCACCTGTGTTTGTTGCTTCTCCCACATGCTCCTTCTCCTCCTCCTCCTCCTCCTCCTCCTCCTCCTCTTCAGGTATCTGAATGTCTTCCAGCCTCTTCAGTTGGGAGGAATGAAGGAAACATCCCCTCATCGACGTTACCGCAGTTTCACCGGCTGCATCCGCAACTTGGTGGTGGACAGTCAGGTAACACCACTTTCTGTGTGTGTGTGTGTGTGTGTGTGTGTGTGTGTGTGTTTCCATCCCAGACATCATTAGCATTTCCTCCATATGTTTGTTTCTTGTTTTTAAATGCAGTATTAATGTTTGTGAGCCTGACTGTGTGTGTGTGTGTGTGTGTGTGTGTGTGTGCTTGTGCATGAATGTATTCACTCATATTCCTCTGAACTCCTCGGTGGATGCTGCTGTGTGTTTGTGTGTATCATATCTGTGTGTGTGCATGTAAGTGTGTGCCGGAGGGACGTTGGTTGGACAGATGGGGGTGCAAGCTCGGCTCATCAGCCAAGGCCAACATCACAGTCCAAAATATAATATAAATGAAAAGAAGCTTCCTCCTCCTGAAACTAAATGAGCTACTGCGGTTCCTTCTGCCGCTCAATGAAAACCTCAACAACATCCCAAACATCCCAGAATATTCCCCGGGAAAGGCGGCCTCCTTCTACCCACAATCCCTTGTGTTTTGGGGTTGTTTCCTGTACTAAGTTGTGAGGTTGGGCTCAAGTCCTCACTCCTAATGAGCTCCACCACAGCTGTGATGTTGTGGAACTGAGACTGGTGCTGCCTTCATACGGAGGTCATATTTTCAGCGACAGAGAACAAGATGTGTTGGTGGTTTAAGTCATGACACCACTGTTGCTAGGTGACTGACTATAGAAATTTTATTTCCTTTTCAGAGGTGTTAAATGGCTTTGTGTCTGCTGCTTTTCAGTGTCATGCTCAGAACAAGGAAAGAAATTAATTTTAAACGAAGAGGTTTAATACAGTAGCACTTGTTACCACTTGTACAATTTTTAGTTTTCATCAAAATTTCTACTTTCTATTACGTCTTTGGTTCATTCTAATCCAAGTTTCTCTCTTTCACTGAACTAAGACAAACGTCAGGTTAAAGGAACAGTGTGTCAGATTTAGTGGCATCTAGTTGTGAAAAACCGCTGCATTGTTCAGGAGGTTTTTACCGGGAGCCGAATATCCACAGAGTTCTCTTCCTCTCCAAAACAAAAGCCCCATTTCCACCAAACCCTTTCAGTCCAGTACCTTTGGAACCAACAGTAAGCCTTCAGACATGGTACCTAGACCCTCAGTCTGTTCAGACAGTCCTCTTAAATGTGGGCAGGGTTGTTGTCACTCACTGCTCCGTCCAGCATTCGCTGTATTTCCTCATCAGCGGTGACACAGATGGAAGTCTGCACCTGGTTTATCGTCCACAGAACGAGGCTGCACGCCCACATTTTCACAACAAAATACAACAGGCTGCAGTGAGAGTCTCTCTCCATGGGATATTTAAAAAGATCCACTCATTAAAAGTTGTCACAGTGACATTTAAGGTGTGCTGATGGATTCACGTCATCAACTCATGCATTGAGTAACATTACAAGTTAACGTTCCACCTTAAAAGTTGCCGGCAGTCGGCCCAGTGAATGAAGTTATTTTTTTCTCTTTCATTTTATAGTTGTAGTTTACTGATGTATGAACAGAGGTTACATAAAACCAGAGTGACCGTCCTCTACTGACCAATCAGACTGCAGTGTTCACAGCTCCACCTTTTAGTACCAGATCTGTGTGCTAGGTACCCCAACAGAGGGGGGACCAAACATGGGGACGGTACGGTACGGAACGGTTTTGTTGGTACCATCCACAACTTTTCACAGTGGAGACAGAAAAAAAATCGTACTGAACTGAACTTTACTGCTTGTAGGAAACGGGTGGCCGACGTGGAAATACAAATGTCGCTATCTAGAGCCAGTGCTTGGTTTGTCTGCTCTGAGCTACTGTAGAAACATGGTGGTGCAACATGGCAGCAAATCTTAATTTTAGGTGATTATACACTCTGCCTCTCAGCTCTTCTCTGAGCAGTGGATCTCACTCGAAATCACATGAAATTAATGGCAACAAAAAAAAACAGGGAAATGACAGTAACAGTGACATTTTAAAAGTAACAGGTTAAAATGTAAGAGGACTACTCCTCTGCTCGTTTACTCATCACTGCAAAAGCTCACCTCAGTGCGACAGTTGCATCGGTGATGGTACGCATAGAAATTGCTGCTGCTCTGACCATCCTGATAAATTCATTTGAATGAGGATATCCGTTCTGCTCTCATTCTCTTTCTGTGGTTCAGACTGATGCTTGTACACGACAAATGTGACTCCACCTGAAGGCACCGTCAGGTTTTCAGAGTTTGAATGACTTTATTCTCTCATTCATTTCTGCATAATTCACTTTAGATATTTGTGATTCCTAAAAGGATGAATCATGATGCTTAATGGCACCACCATCAGGACAACATTTCCACTTGTACACAATCAACATCAAAATGTTCGGAGGATTAAACCTTTCAGTTCTGGTAATTTCATTTGCTCTCACATGGCCTAATGTTTTATGACAAAAGAAAGAGAAACAGGATCCTCCGTAACATGCTTCTGTTTGCTCCGTAATCAGAGGCGCTTTCTTGACTCCTTCAGAAATTTAAAACACATTTTGGAGTTCACGCGTTAAGGTGGTTTTGACACAGCAGAGAATGAGAGCGCTGCACGGCTGCCAGCTGGAAACAATGGGCATGTTCAGACATTTAGTGCATGTCAGATTCAGTCTCTCTGCGAAAGGAGGAAAACTATAGATTTTCTAAAAACTGCTCTAATCACGTTCACATGACTAGGGGCAGCAGGCATTTTGTGTCAGCTCTATTCAGAGCGCTTTGTAAAGACTGAGAGGAAACTGATTTGTGTTAAAATAAAAAAGAGAAAGAGGAAAACACTCCTGCTGAAAGGATTTGAACAAAAATATGATCATCTTTCTCATCCCATGGCTCTGTTTGTTCCTCAGGTGTACGACCTGGCATCTCCAGGTGAGAGTGTGGACAGCTCCCCGGGGTGCAGGCTGACTGATGGGGTGTGTGTGACGGCGGCCGGTCCCTCCTGCGGTGTTCACGCTTCCTGCCTCGCTGATTGGGGCTCCTTCAGCTGCGAGTGCCACCCAGGATACACCGGGCACAAGTGTGACAAAGGTGAGCCAGTGCGTGTGTGTGTGCGTGTTTTCTTCTTTCTGTGGGAATGATTAGATTCTTGTGCCTTCGTTATGACTCCAGACTTGTGGGCAGACAAATCAGTCAGTCTGATATGATACGGTTTTAACACAGAGAGCAAAAAGCAGTCAGAGAGACTCGGCGACAGCATTTCTAATTCTGTCGTCCGCTCACAGCAAACACTCGACATCCACGGAAGTTTAATTGTTGGCTTCACTGACCTGTTTGTTGTGTCTGTCATTTAACTCAAACATAGAGAGACAGTCATGTATGTATTGTTTGGGGGAATCAGTTAACATGCTAAATTGGTGGCCAGAGGGACAGATATACGTATATGTGTACCATGCTGTGTGTTGCTATATGTTGTGTATGTTATTCAACTTTACAAAAATATTCCATTTTGTTTGTGCATGCTTCAATAGATCCTTAAATATTTATCTTCCTGACAAAAACAGTTTTAAATTCACATTCAGCTGAAGCTAGTGAACTTGATCCATGTTCAGTTCAGCGTCTCTGCAGCAGGACGAGGTTTGTTTCATGTGCCAAAGATAAAAGTCATAAAACCACTGATTTTAAACTCTCACTGGCGTGGAGCTGACGTACAGATGTGAAGCTGCTGATGAATTTAAGTTTTATTTCATGTGAGTGAAGCACAGTTAACATGACTCGATATCTCCCTCCTCCTCTCAGCCGTCCCAGAGTTCTCCTTCGACTCGGGCAGCATTGTGCGTTATCAGCTCCGAGGAGGCGGCAGCTCTCGTCGTACAAACGTCCAGCTGCTGCTCCGGACCAGAGCCACCTCGGGCACCCTGCTCTCCGTGATGTCCCGGGAGGCCAACGAGTATATCATCCTGGAGGTCAGTCCATCTGTCAGCTCGTCATTAACTGACCTTCAACACACACAACGGATGTGTCTGTCATCACAGCATTAAGACAGGAGCATAAGCATGAGGCATCATGGGAAATGTTCATCTTGTCTCTTTCAGATCATGGAGGGTCACCTCTCTGTCCGTGCCAACCTCGGGGATGGTGCCCACGCTCTGCGCCTCCCCGGCCAGCGGGTGGACATCGGGCAGTGGGTGCTGGTCAGCCTGAGCCGCCAAGACAACTTGTTCACTCTGCGGCTGGAGCAGGGCGGGGGCTCGCGGGAGGTCCAGGCTCGGCTGGGGAGCCGCCGGGAGATTGTGGTTCACCCGGCCAGCGTGATGGTCGGCAACAGCCTGAATGCTGGAGACAGGGCCGACTTTCAGGGTGAGACCTGGATCTGATCTGGATCCTACTGGTTTCTTATTTGAGTGAAGAATGTATTTTTGTGTTTTACATCAAGTCTTGTGCTGTTTTCTCATATAAAGTCCAGAGTTTCTCTTTCACACATGTGGCACACCACAGGAAACTGTCAAGTGTCAAGTCTGTGTCAAGTGCTGCCCCCAGCACACTAGACGAATCGCTCTGCAGCTGAACTTCCTCCACCTCTGAGTTAGGTTAAAATCAGGTGTGGACAGCCCCTAAACAAACTTGATTTCTCACCTGAAGAGCCGATCTCCAGAGCTATGACTCGCCAGGAAGTATCTTTTTGGCCGTTGTCTTTATAATGACGGGATTGTGGGTCGTTTAGCTTGGCATATTTTTCCACCTCATCCATTCTTCATCACATACAAGACACAGCAACAGCTACAGAGTCCTCTTTATACGTCCATGGTGAGGAGAGGAGTCAAGCTGCTATAGGAGCAGAGAGAAAAAGCTGCTACGGGAGCTGGTCTGTACAAGCAGAGAGCGAGTGGATGGAAAGTGTGTTTAATTCCAGGGGTGGCGAGGCTGGAAATAGGACAGTGGTGTGAAGTGACGCGGGGCGACGCGTCCAGGAGCAGTGACGCACGTCTAGCCTCTGTCAGTGTGGGGTCGTACACTGAGCGTTCGCCGCTGGTGTGTTTTGTCCTCAAGAAGCTTTCTCACCTACTGTAAATATTCCCTTCGCCCTGTGACTCTTCTTCTTCTTGACCCTCAGATGTTTGTTTTCTTCCATTAAACAACTAAACTGGATGTTTCTTCCTGCAGGCTGTCTGCGGGACGTTCGTTTCAACGCTCAGATCCTGCCTCTGGACGGGCTGAGCCGGGACTTGGTGACGGTGCTGGAGAGGCGGGGCGTTTCTTCGGGGTGCTCTAGCAACGCCTGCAGCAGCCAACCGTGCAGCAGCCCGCTACACTGCATCGACCTGTGGAGGAAACACCAGTGCAAGTTAGAGACACATTCATACTTACTGCACACACACCTCCCAGCAGACCCTCCACTGGTTTACTTCTTGATTTTATTCTGACGCCACTACTTCATCTCTCTCCCAGGTGCCCCGGCGGTCAGGTGACGGTGACAGATGATTCCGGTCAGCAGCGCTGCGTGCCGTCGCCCTGTGGACCCTCCTCCTGCCGTAACGGTGGCATCTGCCAGGCGCTGTCTCCTGACAGCTACCGGTGCCGGTGCCAGGAGGGGTTCAGGGGTCAGCGCTGTGAGCTGGGGCAGGTCAAAGGTCACCGGCTGGCCGCGCTCAGCCCCAGCTCCATACTCGCCATCAGCATGTGTCTGCTCGTCTTCTTCGGTAAGAGACAAAAGCGTTACTCATGAAGTCACATTAAAGAGAAACTACTGAAGTTTTTATTTTGCACCTGGATGAATCGAAGGTTTACTGAACCAAAGTTGTTTTACTGTCTTTAGGTTTCACAGTCCAAACAGTGAGAGATTTATCTTTAACATCCAGATATATGAAACGTCTCCATTTGCAAAGTGTTTTTTACCATCACAGAGCCCGACATTAGCACTTGCTCAGGGCAAGTTATCTCTCTGTGCTCCGGCAAGTGGAATGCCTTAAGAGAAAAATATTTGTGACGTCCACTGTAATGTAATCAGAAAATAAACTGCACTTCTCACCACCAAGCTCTGAACAGGAAATCTGACATACTGGACACCACAGAAGGTAACTCTGGGGTTGGTGATGTCATCATAACATCACTAATGTTGAATATCTCTGAAACACTACATGCGAGACAAGAGGCGACAGTTTATCAGCTCATTAACATCAGCTCAGATCAGTCAACTCAAACTCAGACACTGATGAGTGTCATTAAACGTGACGTAAATGCAGCCGTCTCCTCTGAAAACCTTTTGTTCTGAACTTGTGTAACAGTGTGAGAGCAGCTCAATAGGTTTTCCATTAGCATCGACCGTGAACCTACAGACAGCAGTTATGTAAGCTTCACAAAACAATTCATTTTGAAGACGTCAATACATTTGATGAATTAAACCTGATTGTTGATCGCCCCCCGTGATGGTATGAATTGCGGCTTCCAGGTCAAAATCACTGTCTTTGGTTCAGTTGTACTCACTGTCTGATGATCCAGGTGCTTCGCTTGGTTTAAGAGATGATTGGTTTGCAGGATGACACTATGAATTGATTGTCTTAACTGTCGTATTTCAATTCAATGGAGTATTAAACGACTTCATCAAAAAATAAAAACTAAGATTAACCAAAACACCTGCCTTTAATTAAAGGTTCCCGAGATGCTGGGTCAGGTGGCGCATTAGAGGGACTCACAAAATAATAGGAAACTTGCTGGAAATGGCTCTAACAGTATTGTTTGTTCTTCCACATTAAGACTTCTTTTCCCATCAGCCCCCTTGCTTCCTGCTCACCTCTGAGAGGACGAAAATTTTGGAAGCCTGTCTCCATCTAAATTTGACCCTCTGACTCACAGAGTGATGTTAAAGACGCTCCTCCCACTAATGGGCTCATGTGTATTTCACCTGTTGATAGTAATAATACTGATGTTTATAAATATCATGGTGTTAATATATCGGGGCGAAACGACTCCACAGAGCAGCGTTAATGAGCTGCTGCTGCTGCTACTAACAGACAGGAAGGAAATGAAATCTGTCCCAGTGGTGCAGAGGCACATTTACGCACAGATGCATATTAACTCTGTCCTGTGCATGTGTGTGTGTGTGTGTGTGTGTGTGTGGTGTCGCGCAGCGGTGCTGGTGGCGGTGACAGTGTGGAACCAGAAAGGCAGTCGTAACAAGTTCAGGAAGCGAGGAGTTTACCACATCCCCGCTGAACATGAGAGCTGGGAGGACATCCGAGAAAACATCCTCAACTACAACGAGGAGGGAGGGGGGGAGCAGGACCAGGTACACACACACACACACACACACACACACACAAACACACAATGGGTACGATGTTCTACTTTTTACGTAACAGCTCACTTTTGTAAAAAAAAATCAACAAAAAAAACCTGCAAACTGTCAAAAGTTTGAAACTGGAACATTTTACTAATGAACGGAATCAAAATCAGTTTCACTGATTCTTAAATCAATTTGTTTTTAATGAAATCACAAGGAAGGAAGTGACACAGTAAACTTGGGGTCATGTGGTGATATTTGAGCACAGGTGTCCTGATGGGTTTCTGGGGGTCCATCCCAAGTCTCCTATTTTTATAGTGCTACTGCTAGTTCTTTGCTTGAACCGGAAGTTGTTCGAGGTCCGCCATCTTCTAGGCCGTCCCAAGTCTCTTATTTGTGCAGCGAGGAGCTAGCGCTAGGAGCTAGCAGCTAGCTTTAAGCAGCTAAGAGCTAGGATGGTAGAGAGCTTCCTATCTGGAAGAGTTTTTCAGCTGAACGCCATGACGTATAAATACCGCCCTCTACATCTGGCACATTTGAACGAGATGGCGGCGGAAACAGCACAAGAGTAAGTACCCGTTACATGCATTCTTTGCAGTGAATCACTGTAATTCACGTATCTACTTCAAGGAGTAATGATATTTCATCACAGTGACAGTGGAATAGCAGGGCTACAGACCGTTCTGTAATTGCACAAACTTCGACAAATGACTCAATAACAATGGTAATATACACAAAAGTGTGTGACCAGAGTCATGACAGTGGGGGACGGGGCTACTGTTTTGGTCAGCGAATATAATGAGACTTGGGATGTACCCATAGTAACGCCAGATGCTGGCTGCTTTATGGAGCAGATCCAGCGGTGCCGCCGTCATCAGGAATGGACATCTCATGTCTCTTAAACCGACAGTGCTCGCTCATCGCTCCTAGCGCTAGCTCCTCACATTTTTTCCTAGATGGGAGGGGCTAAACAGTTCGCAAAGCCGGCTAGGTAAGATAACTAGCAGTAATTTAAGAGACTTGGGACGGACCCAGGGTCTGTGTAGGTGATGGGATCGTCTCACAGGGTGAACACACACAGATTGCTGTTGTCAGTGGTCATCCAAGAGCAAGTGTTGGATGGTTTTGTGAAGCTCTGAGCACAGTCCTAAGGTTCCAGGAATCATGAACAGACCTGGAACCAGAGCTGATTCAGTGGAAAAGGGTTATGAGAGCAGGACACAACTCTGGACAAAATATGTTGCATGTGCTACGCTAAATAAGTCTGTGAGATTAATGAAATTACCGCAGTAGCACATGTGCAGTTCTGTGGACCTTTGCCACTGTCACTTTTGGCTGCGCCAAGTCAAGCCATGCTGCGACGATTTGCATTTCCATTATCAGTTTAGAGGCACCATGCTGCGCCAGAGATGGACCTTCGACAGAGTAGGTCGAAAAGCTGGACCGACCACCCTCAAGTGGATAGCAGTGATGTCTGGCGTCCTGTTTTTAGTTCAGATATCTTTATTTTACTGTTTCATGTTTGCTATCAGCAGCATTAAAAGTTGAGTGAAGTTGCTGCTCTAAAACTCAACATTTCCTTACTTTGCTGCTTCACAATAAAAGTTTTTACATAACAAAATAACAGGGGACTTTTACTGTGAAGAATCTACAGGAAATGAAATGTTTATCGCTGAATTAGCGAAACTTTGTTAGCAGCTTTTCTTCAATAAAGACGTCTGATAATACAGCCGGGAGGAAGAGTGAAATCAGAAACAGCCACAGTGAGATGTTAATGAAGAGCTGCAGACAACAGGCTCTTCCTGCACCTCTGTAAACAGCTCATCTCCAACAGGTGAACTTTTTCTACCTGCCCTGCTGTGGGAAAACACATGCAGCAGAAATAACAGGGGACTTTAGCCGTGGATCAGCCTGAAAATACAAAGATGTGAGTTTTTGTCCACGTCACTCAGCCCTACCCTGACAAGCAGACGAGCCTCAATGTGGAGCCCTGCATGTGTGTGTCACCTCTTTAGCTACTGAGGGTCGATACCTCTAACTGTGCGTCCACTTTCCTTCCTCTCTTCCAGAACGGATATGACATCACAGAGTTGAAGCGTCCGCTGTGCTCCAGTTTGTCCCAGTCCTCGTCCTGCACCACCGCCCCGCTCATCAAATCCTCACCCGGCTCCCAGGAGGAAGTTCACCCGTCCGGCTCCTCCTGCAGCTCAGGTGCTCCCTACCTCAGCATCCCGCATCATCACCACCACCACTATCAACACGCCACCACCAACGGCTACACCAGCGACACCACCTACGCTAACTTCACCACTAACGTAGGCAGGGACACAGAGGCAGGCGACGGTTATGTGGACGCCCCATCGGGGTCGCACTCTCACGTGGACTTTAAAAGCTACGTGGCGCGAATCATCTGGGAGGCAGACAACGACGGCGAGGCGCTGCCACCGGACGCCTACCACGTCTGGTGTGTGGAGGGCTCGGGGTCATCAGCAGGAAGCCTCAGCTCACTGGGGTCAGCCGCGTCACGTAGAAACATTGTCACCGCCCCTGGTGATGAGGAGGAGGAGGAGGAGGAGGAGGAAGAAGACGAAGGAGGGTTTGTTTACGACACGCTGTCGCGGTGGGGCCCCAAGTTCCAGGCGCTGAGCGAGATGTACGACCGGCCCCAGCTGGCGCTCACATACAGGGACGCAGTGGCATACATACAGAGGAGCCACAGCCACGACCCCCTGCCTCATCACCACTAGGGGGCGCTACACAGAGTTAATGCAGAGTGGGAGGAGCTAAGTGCTGCGTTCACGTCCAATTTGAAACCAAAAACAAAAACAGTCTCAGAACAATATCACAACAGTAAATATGTGTCTGACATAAATGAAATGATCATATTGATGCTCTTGTTTTAAACATTTTATAATAATTTAATCAATAATTGACTTTTATAAATAAAAAAATCACCCAGCCTTATTATCAAGGCCAGATTTACCAGAGAGGGAGCCCTGCAGCACAAATATAATTAAATATTGTTGGTGGTCATTTGTTTAAACATATATTTATTAATAAATATACATCATGGACATTTTGACATCTGCAGACAGACAGAAAAGACAGGTCATAATGCAGGACACACTTTAATGCTCTTATTTTAGCCGATATTCTGCTCGTCCTCAAAAAGTAAACTCAAAATAAACCTTAAATTATAGTCTGAATATGATCGCTTTTTATTTATCTCCAAAGTTTGTGCCATTTGGTAAAGGTCAGTTCTGCAGCTCTCCGTCCACACCGGTCAAAACACAGAGATATTTTCTGTTCTTTTGGCTGATTAAACCTCAGATTAAAGTTCAGGTTGGGGAGGAGTTACAGCAGCGAGATAAACACAGTGCATTCATTAGAACAGAAGGAGGCACAGAGGAGACATGAGGAGGAGGAACACACAAGACAGAAAATAGAAATGAACGTTTTTTCTTGTTCAAATCAAACGAAGAAACACAGAAAGTTGGTGCAAGTCTAAATTACAAATTTAAATTTGTCAACATTTTGGAAACATTAGATTTGTCTGAAACATCAGGGCTGCGTTCAGCCTCAGCAACAATTACAGTATATATCATTTTCCTTTTTTTCACCCTTGCTTTGGCAACGTAAATGTGTTGTCCATGCAAATAAAACCCCTTTAAATAAACGTTTTGCTGGGGCTGAACGCAGCCTTGTTTTCTGCTTCAACTGGGCCTTAAACTCTGATTGGCTGCACCAGACCCACCTCACAGCTCTGAGTCCTGATTGGCTGCTGCTCCTGATTAGAGGTGAGACCAGCAGTTCAACCTGTAAGTCTCAAACAGGAAGCAGCATTAGAGACGCTGTGATGTGAGTAAAACAAACACATTTAAAAACTGTGAAGCTGAAAATATTCTGTCGGCACCAGTTTAGTTTGTTGAAAAATCAATTTCTTGACAGAAACAAACTGGTTCACACTCAAAGTTAAGAGTTTCTAAACCTTTAAGAGTTCTCATCAATGGTGTTTTTATTTATTCAGAATATATTTCACGCATTTTGGATGTGAACCAGTTTGTGCAAACACCAAACTCCCTCTGTAGCTGTAACAGTTTGTCTGATATACTTTACAGCCACAACTAACTATTATTTACATTCTCTATTAATCTGCCAAGTATTTTCTCGATTAACTGTCTCTTGAATGTCAGAAATATGTGTAAAAGCAGATTACAACAGTCCCACAGGCCGGGGTCCAGCCTTAAAATGCCGTGTTCATGTCCTAAATATATTTATCATCACACAAGACAAAGAAAAGAGCAAATCCGCTTTAGTATTTTTCCTCTGAAAATTTCTCGAATCATTTATGGAATAACAAAATAGTTGCCAACTATTTTTCGGTTGACTGGTTGTCAAATAATTTTAGAGTTGCTAAAATTGAAAATGTTAAAATCCTACACACTCTGAAGGCTTTGAATCTTTGGGCAGATTGTGTCCGTAGATTACTTCACTGTCCCCTCTGTGGCTGCAGCAGTATGTATGTAGTTTAATACGCGTATTAATTCATTATCTATCAATCCGCCAAGTGTTTTCTTGATTCTCTGTCTCTTGAATGTCAGAAACAAATGTAAAATGCAGATTACAACAGACCCACAAGCCACAGTCCGTCTTAAAATGTCTCGTTTCTGTATCCTAAAGATATTTATCATCATATAAGACAACATAAAGAGCACATCCTCACAGGTGAGTCGTATATTTACTTGAAAAATTACCTGAAGGATTTATGGAGCAACAAAATATTTTCCAAAGTCTGTCTTGCCAAAGTCAAACATGTTAGTATCCTGCACACAAGGACGCAGATCGTCTCCCTGTTCTGTGTTTCAAAATGGCCTCAGAACAAAAAACGCTACCAGAAATCATCCCGTCTGCTCAGTAGCCTCCAGTAAACGTGATGTGAACGCAGCAGCTCTGCTCCCAGGTGGAGATCGATGGCGGCAGTAAAGCGGTGACACTTTCAGGGCTGCAGCTTCATCATCTGATCCGGATGTTTCTTCATGTAGAAAACAAAGAAGTCGGAGGTCTGAGAGTTCAGGCGCTCGACACAACAAAGCACACAGAGAAGTTTTTTGCGTTCATGTGCCAGCGTTACACAGAAACATCTTTATTTATTCCTCCTCTTCCTTTAAAGCAGCTCAGCGTGTGCTGTGTTTATTTAATTTGTTGGCAGTTTGTGGGTCGCTGGCTTTATTCTCTTGAAACGAGGACTTTCAGAGTAAAAGGTCACTGTTGTGTTTTTGGAGGCAAAATACCATCAAGCTATGTCAGGTTGACTGTAAGAATGATTCTGGTTCATTTGTTACCACTAACAACATCAAGGCCTTGATGTGAGTCTCACAAAGGGAACTCAAATTTCTTCTCTAAGGGCATTTTAATGTAGCATTTTAATCTTTTTATCTCCGCTCCGACAGTTCCAACTTTGACCCCAGCCACACAAACCAAACCCGACAAACAAAAACTCATTTTCACAAAGAAAATCCACCGAAGGACGAACTTTTCTTTCACCTGTATTCTGTAGATTGATCTTTTCATGTCGCTGCTGTCGATGTTTCCACACATTAACCTCCAACAAACAGAAGAACCAGCTTTTATTTTCTCTTTTCTACCTTCCTGTTGCACTAGTGGATGATTCAGAGTCCTCACACAGGACACACGGATCTGTTTGCCAGTATAAAAAAAAAAAAAAAAAAAAGACACCAGGTGAAACACTTTTTATCCTCTCAGTGTTTCCAACATGTAAAATAAGATTTGATAGTTTTCAGATGAGATTATTTTTGTACTCCCTTGTAGAAACTTCCCAGAAGCTCCTGTCCACTTGCAGCTGGTTGTGCACCATGTTCAAGGGATAGTTTGGATATTTTGCTGCAGGGTTGTACAGGGAACACATCCATAGTCAGTACATTACATACAGAAGATGTCAGTCGGCACGCCCCGGTTTGGAGAAGCAGGCTAGAGTCTGACATGGAGGCTAAGCAAAGCTGTGGACGGGGGCAACAGCAAGATGTGTTTCAGCCACCTAAAAAACTCATGATCAATTAAGGGGGTGCTATATTGAGAGTATTTTCACAGCTTTATGTCCACGTCAGACAGCGATTTCCGACAGAAAATTGATTGCCGTTATATCGCTCTCCTCAAAGCCAGACTCTGTTCAGAAAATCAGTAATTTGTCATCACTGAACACAGGAGCTGCTGGTCTACTACTGCCCCAAACAGTTAGCTTGTTTGTGTCATTGTGTGAATTTGGCACTTTAAAGTTTTAGTTTGGATTCGCCAAAGTCAGGTTACTGCATTGATTCGACGCAGAAGTATAAATAAATTCTGCTTTAGTGAGAGTATAGATGAGGAACTGAAGCTGTTAACACCTTCCTCGCTGGAGCCAGCTGTCTGGCGCAACAGTAAAGTGGTGAAAATAATATAAATATAGCATACAATCAAACTGATATTGTTTGCTGAACTGTGCTGGACTTCAACCTCCTTCTCCAAACTGGGGGCATCAACTATATGTGACACCCTGACTGTGGATAAGTACCTCATACAGCCCCACTTCAAATCTGAATTATCCCTTTAATGTGCTGGACAGTGTCACACTGAGTGTTTCTATTAGTTGGTCAGCTTGTTTGCGGCTCTGTGTTCAGACTGCTGACTGTAGAAGTGAAGCCACTCAGAGGCTCAGAGTCTGTTTGTGTGACGGCGTCCTCGTCACATGGCAGGTGGAGGAGCCACAGACGTGCAGCTAAATCACATTAATGTGAGCTGGAAGGCCGTGAGAGAGAGAGACGAGGTCAGCTGGCTTTAAACGCCGCAGATCAGTGAAGGCCAAATATGTGTAGAGATTTATTAATGACAAAACTGTTGAGGAAGCACAAAGCAAGTTTTAATCATCTGCAAGTTCAGATCTGAGAGCACGCGGTCAGATAGCTGCCCGAGACAGGCCCGGCTATGTGAGACGAGATAACTACGGGCCAACGTGTGGACACAAAAATCCAATTTTGTTAAAGATGTATTCACATTAAAGCAGAATATTTAGGCTATAATGCTTCTTTGTCCAGCACTGAATTCTTAGGAAGGTTTCTAACTATTTAATAAGTTTAACAACCTGTAATGATCATTACTGTTTCACCAGGTTCAAAGTGAAGAGCAGAGATTTTGAAGCAAATCTGATTGATTATAATTTGTAACTGTAACAGACGCATTCCTGTTCAGGTACGAATAAAGCAACCTGGGCACTGGATTATGTGTAAAGTCAATGTAAAGACACGATTGGACGCAAATTCCCACTGAGTGTTGCGATAAACACGATGGACGCAACGCCAATGACACGAAATAGACAAATGATGCAAATTAAGCGAGGAGCACGATTTTACGTTATATTCATAGGAGTTAAATAAATCTGAACCTCAGTGACCAATTCGTGCCGCAATAACCAATGAGTATTGAGATTCTCCGGGGATGTTTGACCCTGAGGACGTACTGGCGGAAGTTCATTCATCAGTTCAGTGATTTCACGACTAGGAAATGAGTCAACACAAATATTTTACTGTAATGTGACACGAACCTTAACATCACGTTTGGTGCGAACACAACATAACACACACACTAACAATAATCACCGTAACAAGAGTCGCTGTGACTCTCTCTGTGACTCTCTGTTGTTCCCAGATCTAAACTTGCAGATTAATTTCAACTTGAATTAATTCAGTGTTCACTCAGTCGTCTTCTGTGACTGCACGTCTTTGCCTCAGCTGCAAACTTTTCACTTCACCTGCGTTAGAGCGTCCAGTTTGATTCAGTGTTCACGTGTCTCCTGAAGGCGAGATGAGGACCAAAAAGTCGGTTCAGACCTCCCAGCTGAGCAGCACACACACTTTCCTTCTAGAAACTTCCCATATTAAAGAAAGAAGATGTGAAGCAGCAGTTTGTTGGGTGGTGTCCACAGTCTTTAATCTCTGTTCCCAGCCTACCTCTCGGCTACGTATGTTGTCATTGCACCGCCTGATGAATGTAGTTTTATATGTGCGTGTAGTGAGGGAGCGTCCCTGAGCGTGAGCAGGCAGAGAGTACAATCAGAGAGTTTAATATGATATTTGATAAAGTCTTTACGTGCGTAACTCAATCCTCAGCCGACAACACAAACAGATCCAGATGTTTTAAAGGTTTTTGATTTACACTTCAGGTCGTGAGTGTCTCAATATGTTCAGGTTCAATAAAAGAATATTTGCCTCTGAGGTCGTGGGATTGTCGCGCTGAAAAAGAGTTTCCCAGGTTTGTCACTTCGCAGTCGAACAGTTTGATTTCTCTTCTGGTACCTGAATAAAAAAAGAATTGTACTCAAAGCTATGCATCCAAATGGAACAACACAGGTGTCGTTTTCTAAACTGATGTGAAGCTCCAGATGTTGTGTCTGTACTGTGACACATCTGTTGATGTTTGTGTAAATTCAGTATTTTTAAAGCAGTTAAGTGTGTGTGTGTGTGCGTGTGTGTGTGTGTGAGCAGTGTTGATCTGTATGATATGATGTACATATGGACGTTTTATAGCAACCTAACATGGAATATTCCTTTTGTATATGACTTTTAATAAAAATGGCTTTTCCCCAAAACTTTGATCTGTTTCAGTTTCTGATTCAGAAGAAGAGAAGAAGAAATGTAAGGAAGGAAATTTGTCTTGGATACATGCGCTACCTGCCGTTAAAAGATACAAAAGTTCCTACATCTGTACACAAAGCTGTCACTGTTAACTGTCCTCACACTCGGCACATACAGAACATGTACAGACTGTCTTCAGCCGAGAAAAGAGAAGACGGGTTTTAAATGTGTAAACATGAGTTGTAAACATGTTTATAATCAGCCATATCAACAGTAGAGGAATCACTTCACAAATCTCACTAAATTCTTGATGTAGTGAAGTAGCAAGTGGCATCATGAGTGGATGCTTTTTTCCCATAATGCTTTGCACTCAAAAAATAACAATAAAGCCCCTCTGTGAACACGTCAGAAGTCTTAGTTAAAATATTTTGTTACTTCTGAAGTTGCATCGTCTCATTTAGTTTCCTCACCACATGGTCAGTTTAGCAGCTGTTCTGGAGCTTTCGATCGTTATCGTGGTCTTCCTCAACAGATAGTCTGCCCTGTTGCCATGGTGATGCAGATGATTAAAGGTCCGTTTTATTCTGTGCATGTTTAGGGCTTTCATCCATGTTGGTCTAAATATTGTTAGTGATTATAAGTTTCTCTTTGACCTCTGAAACAGCAGCTAACAAAACAAGGTAAGACGTATTAAAGGTTATTATAAGTCTTATATAAGGTCTTTTTGTTTGTTTGTTTTTAGTAAATGACACATACTGTATGTAGTTTGAATTAGGACCATTGGAACACTGGCTGACCAATAAATGTCCTTCTTCTTCTCCTGAGGGTCCAGAAGGCACTAATAACACAGCGTAATGCTGCCCTCCGCAGGCAAGACTTTACTATTCACCCTATATTTTTATATAAAGTCCAGAAGCATGGAGAAATTTCAGGACTGCTCTCCCAGTAAGTACAAACTCCACTTCAGACACTAAAATAGATTTGAAGGAGAAAGATCTGACAGCTCCCTGAACAACTGCCGCCTTTCATTTCTGTGTTTGTCCCAGGTGAACACATGTTGGACTGTTTCTGATTCTCCACACTGACACAAACCGTCTCAATGTTTGCCTGTGACTTTTAAATCAGTGGCTAAACCACAAGGCCCCAGTGTCAGCCTTGTTAAAACAGCATCACCCCTTCTTCCAGATCTATCAGCCATCTTTTCTTCTTAACACAGGGCTACAAAGAAAAGTGCTGTCCGCCCTTCGCTCTTCTCTCCACTCTTTTTGCCACTGAAGCTCCAGTTTTTCTTTGCAAAGCAAGGCTTAATCATTCACGCTTTCCTGTTTGGACACTCGAGCCACTTTATCAGATATTTCATTTCCCTCTAGCCCTGAGTGTCTGGACCCACAGAAAGCCGACTCATCAGTCCATTTTCTCAAATCTTAACAAGCTGCACAAGACCTCAAGGAGCAGATCAGGACGGGCCCATGACAGTCCACCTCTCAAAGCTAACAGGGTGTAACTGACCTCAGTTAGGCCTCGCTGTAACTGCTGGTAAGCCACCCTTGCAATCTGCGCTGTGTGGACAATAATGAGGAGGCTTGTCGTCTTTTTTACACCCCCATTTATTCCAGAACAGGAACAGGATATGTACTGGTCAGTCATACAGCTGGCTCGTTACAGGCAGCTCACACACAGCACGCTACAGAAGAACAGCACGTTATTTTAGCACAGAGGCCAGCAAGTGATTTCATAAAGTGCATTATGCCGGACATTTTATCACTTAAAAAGACATTAATACACAATAATCGAGCACGTCTCAATGTTTAACGCCTGCAGTGGCATCTACCTACCACCTCTGAGAGAGGGCGCCCTTGAGCCAGTAACACAGGTACAGTTAACAACATAACTACACAAGTGCAAGACTATCACATTATAGCAATAATGGCAAGTGGAATTACATACAACACAAACTCTGATACAAGGGCAACAGCAGGATCCAAACAACCAACACTCTTGGGGTTTGACGGCCTCTATCCACCTCAAAGCCCATACAGCTGCTGATAGCTCAGCAGAACAAACACACATGTTGTCAGAAGTAAGGATGCTCTGCTGGACCTGAATATTTCCCAAAGCTCGGGACCTTTGACCCATCAGCAAAGATAAAGATTCACTCTTTCTTAAATTGATGTGAGCACCTATCAGCATCTTTACATGTACAGTTTCTGTTCTGATCAGGTAAGGTTAAGTCCACCTGAAGTTCAGGGAGAAGCCAGAAAGGAGCACGAGACCATAGAGACTCAAGCCCTTTTTCTTCGTACCTTCTTTTTTTTTTAAAAAGTATGTTTATTAAACAGACTTCAAAGCAAGTATTACACAGTGCAGGTACTCACTGTAAAACAGAAGTCTGAGATTTTTCTCAAATGTGAATTTTTCATCCCATAGACAAAAACAGAAACAACACATTATGAACCAGTCACCTCGAAATCACCCTCCAAAGAAATGTCCTTGTGGGTACAAATCACACTGTTGTGAGTGCCAGAGGAGATGATGAAGAAGAGAATAACTAAGTAAATAAGATAAAATTAAATAAAAAAAATAGGAATAAAAATTAAAAGTGAGAATGAGGGGATAAGAAGAGTTACTGAACAAATGAACTGTCTATCAGAGTTAGGTTAGGTTAATATAAGGGAGAAAGGGCTCCCAAGTCCTGTGGAATCTTCTCACAGACCCTCTGACTGTACTTAATTTTTTCTAGGTGGAGAAAAGACATTAAATACTTTAACCAAGAAGTTGTGTCAGGGTTTGGGCTCTTCCACTGCAGCAATATGTGCTGTTTGGCTATGAGGGTTGTGTTTCTAAAAGTCCCACAGCAAAGTCTGAAGGTTTGTCTGAACCTGATCAAATTCCAACAGAAGTTTACAAAGTTTTTATATTTTCTTGTGAGGCAACACTGCCACCATGTGTTGAACTCTGATATTACACAAGAATATATGCATTTTAAATGGTTTTGGCTCAATTTTCAAATTTCAACATGCTAAAAAAAACTACAAACACACCGCTGCTCATACAGTGTGCAAAATAAAAACCTCAATTAATCAAGTAATGATTTAAAAAAAGAGGTGATTCCCTAAAGTCTTTCTCACTTTTCTTTTTCGTTCTTTCTTTCTTTGTGGCTGCATGATCCATCTATTTTACCTTCATCAGTCCACAGGACTTGTTTCCAAAAAGCATCAGGCTTGTTTCGATGTTCCTTTGCGAACTTCTGACGCTGCATTTTGTGGTGAGGACACAGGAAAGGTTTTCTTCTGATGACTCTTCCATGAAGGTCATATTTGTACAGGTGTGTCTGCACAGTAGAACAGAGCACCACCACTCCAGAGTCTGATAAATCTTCCTGCAGGTCTTTTGCAGTCAAACAGGGGTTTTGATTTGCCTTTCTAACAATCCTACGAGCAGCTCTCTCAGAAAGTTTTCTTTAACTTCATGCCTTTTGGAGATCAGTTAATCTTCTCCTCACTTAACTGTTCACAGTAAATCAAATTTTAACCCGGGGTGCCCAAACTTTTGCAGCCACTGTACATGCAAACATGAATGCACATGTATGTGCAGTCCTGCAGTGTAAATGTAGCCTTAAAAACTTTTTTTAACTGAGTTAGTGTTTGCTGGGAAAATGACCTCTGACCCCCTACCCCCTAAAAACACAGACATTGAGTTGACATGAAGCATATGCTTTGTTACAAACAATGAATGGAGGTTATCATGCTCTGATGCAGCTGTGTGTGTGTGTGTGTGTGTGTGTGTGTTCGTATACTTGTGTCTTTGTGAGGACCAGATATAAATGCTGACAGAGACATTTTGTCCTCACTTCTCCGTAAGGAGCTGTCTGAGGTTCAGACCTGTAAGGGTTAATGTCAGAGTGAGATTAAGACATGTACTTCAGTTTGGGGGTGAGGGTCCTCGAGTGTGTGTGTGTGTGTGTGTGTGTGTGTGTGTGTGTTGGGGGTTGCAGCAGCTTGTGTCTGGTTGTCCTTTATTGTCTTTGACCTCTATAACAGGACGGCAGCCCCTCAGTGTGTCTCAGATAAAGCTGAATGTGTTGTTGTGACGACACAGTTCTGCTCAAAGTTGAAATACAGAGGACTTAAAAAGAAGTCTTATTTTTAAGTCTGGACCCTGTTTTCTCACATGTTTGTGTCTAAGTGACAAATGGGAACAACAAGTCCAGTGCTGAGTGAGAGGGCAGCAGTGTGCAGCAGCGAAACAGGCTGCAGTGTAACCACGCTTTCCCAGGCCGACACAATACACTCACTCTACAGGGGGGTGCATGTATACGGAGGGAGGCCCCTGTCAGAATACCCTATATATGTCACACACACACACACACACACACACACACACACACACACACTTGTACATGTGAATGCCACCAGGCACAGGCAAATTATACAACACATTTCAGCAACAAAGCAATTCAAAGTGTTCATACATAACACAAAACATCACATACATAAAACATCAAAAGCATCTCGACAAGATGCAAAAGAATACGTTTCAAAAGGACTTTTAAAAACAGTTCATTAAAAAAAGTAAAAAATAAAGATAAAATAAAAGGTTAAAATACAAGACAGGAGTAATAATAGAAAATAAGTTTAAGAAATGAATAAATATTCGATGTAATAAAAGGCAGCCGCAAAAAGAAAAGTCTTCAGCCTTTATTCAAAAGAACTAGGAGTTACAGCAGACCTGCAGTTTTCTGGGAGTTCGTTCCAGATATGTGGAGCATAAAAACTAAACGCTGCTTCTCCATGCAAAAACAGTCCTGTTAAATGTGGGCGGGGTTGTTGTCACTCACTGCTCCGTCCAGCACTCGCTGTATTTCCTCATCAGCGGTGACACAGATGGAAGTCTGCACCTGGTTTATCGTCCACAGAACGAGGCTGCACGCCCACATTTTCACAACAAAATAGAACAGGCTGCAGTGAGAGTCTCTCTCCATGGGATATTTAAAAATAGCAGCTTTGTGCATTTA